TTGATTGTGACGTCAGAGACCTGATTGGGCCATATTGTGTCTATTCCGCTACAAATACATTTGTACATAGTGATTCCCAAAGCTTAAAGATAACAATATTTGAGAAGCATTATAGGGTTGTATTAGTTTAGTTTTTTTATAATCAGAAAATCAGTCATTGACGACATATTGTAAATCATTTCTCATTGTGATAAAATTGTAAATATATATATATATATTAGTTATTCGAATTTGTAAGCTTGTTGATAATTTCAGTATATTTTAAAGTAGTTTGGAAATTCCTAATGTAATGAATTTAAACCTTTCTTCAAATAAAGCCGTGAATCTGACAGTAAAATTCAGTCAAAATGAAAAAAGTCAACGGTATTCATTTAAAGAGAGGTTTACATCGGTTCATCGGTAAATGAACACAACCGCGGATTCGAGACCAGTGCCATATTTTGAATCAGCAAATATAACGATTTAGCTGTGTACCTTATTCATCGTATGATGTTTTAAATGTGTTACAATGTCTAGATTATGCGTGTATCATTCACTTATATACATATTGAATAGATGCATAATAGGTAAAATAAGGAAACTATGTAATTACATATTGTAGCATTGACAATGACTTAACAAGACATTAATTTTGTTTGATTCCTTCCTCGAATAGGTTTGTCAATCACGTAATTATGAAAGCATTTTCTGAATTATCTAAAAGTTATGTATAAGGTTAATCGATGTTTTCAATTTCAATTCGTTCGATTCTAATGAAAATGAAATTTATATGACGTAAATAACACAGCATATATGTTCCATCAAGCAATTCCAGTGTTTATTTCATCAAGTGTTTTTCATACTGTGCTTCTTGTCATAATGAGTTTGAATTATGATAATGAAATATATGATAAAGATATTTGCGTCAAAATTCAATTACAATAATTGCCCTTATTTACATCAATGTGGTATTTGATTAAAAGTCAATAAAATCTCCAACATTTACATACATTTCTTTGTTGTCATTCTCGTTTACAAAATTCATTGTATGGTATATATACGCACCGTTGAAACGTTTTGGTTCAGTATCGTCTCGAATGGAGGATTTCTTTTCTTCTTAAGACAGAACAAAACAAGAGAAGACAATAAATGAAAGCATTTTACTTGTTGATCTTAAATGTTCTATTCCTGGGGATAGTTGTGCCGGTTTTAATCCAGACACATGAAACATCCTACTTTTCGAATTTTTTTTCTAAAAATTTCTTCGGCACATAGCTTTGAGGATAAACATTTCTCAAGAATATAATTGTACTTTAAATTCATGTTCATATTTAAATCTATCGTGGGATATTGGTTTTTGTGGATTAAGGTTACCCACAAAATTAACGAAAATAAACCCCAACGAAAATCAAATGCTTTACAGTTCTCTGTCTTCAGTTGGCCAGTTTCAGAAGGAGTACGGATATTGAAAAACATATTGGTCAAGCATTAGTTGAAGTAATAAAGAATTTTAAGACATGTTGCATGTATAACTGACTATTAACACCAAAGAATTCACACATATTCATAGCATGCCTATCCAAATAACATAACACCTATTAATTCTATCTAACTCCTTTTTAAACTTATGTCAACTGTACCGGGTTATTGAACTATTCGTTGTCAGATGAAGGTTACGATCCTCTTATTGTGAACACCAATAATTCAACACTGCGTGCACGTCATTCAATACCTTATTCTAGTGTAAATGGTGTTCTTATTACGTTTCTATAATCATGACTTGACCCCATATGTTTCCACCACTTCATCACGCCTATAGTATAACTTATAAACTTAGAACATATATTCATGGAATGTCACAGACCTGCCTAGTAAAAGACATCATTCAATTGGTAACACACAGTAGGACACAGTGGAATTTCTGTAAGTGTCCACAACGCGCTTGGCATTATCGGAGAAAGCAAACCAAGAATGATTTAAATTCTCAAATTTGATGCACCAGTCATCGTCATCAGTAAACTTTCTCGGGTAATAAGATGCGAGTAACTTGATCCTTCATTTTGCATATATTTGCCTTTTTTGTAGAACAGAGCAGAATTGCTCAGGTTGTTCATGTGTGATTTTTTTGCAGAGCATTCGTACTATGGCCCTTTGAAAAAGTCTCCTTGGATAAGCTTTGTTAGGTACGACAGGGACACAGTAAGATATTTTATTGTATCTTCAGTTCCCCCTTTCTGCTTGAAACACCTTAGATATATCCATATATGTGCATCATTCTAATACCTCTCCTCAGGCATTACATGTATAATATATATTACACTATGTATTTATAAGATACATTTCACTTTAAATGAAGTTTATTTAATATAAATAGAGTATCTATTAATACATTAATGTACATCTTCAATTTATGTTTTTTTAACATGAAAGAATTAAGGGTATATTTTTTATGTTACAGTTGCATATGATATTTGAGTGTAGATATCTCATTTGGTACGATTAATGGACAAAAAAGGGGATATTCTAAAAATGAGTACTACTGACGTAACAACTCCATCACCCTCTCTCTCTCTCTCTCTCTCTCTCTCTCTCTCTCTCTCTCTCTCTCTCTCTCTCTCTCTCTCTCTCTCTCTATATATATATATATATATATATATATATATATATATATATACTTGATTGGAACTATATTAATCACATGATTCATCAATCTTAACAACTTAAATTACATACCATACAATTAGACACATGTTTTCACTTTAAAACAGGTCGATAACTTTTACAAAATGATGATTTCCCGTCGTTTGATAGCAGAGACATATAAAATATTCTTTATCAAAGTTCCTACTACAGCCAACAAAAAGCCTCAAAAGCATTATGATGTTAAACTTAATGGATAATTAAATCTTACTTATTTAACAAAGTTAATAAGTTATATATGTACATGATGTTGTAACGATCATTCCATTTACTGTTCTTCCCTCAGCATAAATTCTCAACAACAATCAATCCAATACACCTCTTGAAGAGTTTTCACAGCAAACGAGCTTGATTTTTTTCAATAGAAAGAAAATCACATCTATTTATGTTGCCTCTCTGGTGTTTTCGAGTCTTTTTTCTTCCAACAAACTTTAAAACTGTTCCTCAATTATTGTGGCAAATCTTCTGCCGTCTTCCATCTTGTCAACAATTTCATATGGGCACATGCTTTTATGACGTCAAGGAAAGTCCCTCGTTTCTATATATGGGTACGAACTAGTATTGTTGGATTGATTAACATTATGTTTGAGCAATGTGGGAATGTTTAGAATCAACCAATCATAAAACAGAAAAACACAGTCATATAATAAATAAATATACAGTAATGATATTCATACTGGTGTATAAAAATATTATCTTGTCATATCATATCAAAATTTAAGGTTATTATATAATTACAAAATCCATTCAAGGAATAAATTACCCAACCATTAATGAAGTTCAAGGTCACATTACCTGATAATAAATGGAATTCAAGGTCACATATATTCAATAATTAATGTAATTACAGGTCACATTACTTGACAATTAATGAAATTCAAGGTCACACTACTTAAAAATTAATGGAGTTCAAGGTCACATTACTTAACAATTAATGGAATTCAAGGTCACATTACTTTAAAATTAACAGGATTAAAGGTCAGATTACTAAAAAAATTATGGAAGTTTATATCTTAATACTGAATATTAATAGTTGTTCTGATTTTACTATAATCACAGTCATAAAAAGATAACACAGAATTGAATAACTAGGAAACATTTCAGTGATCAAACAGATGTACTGACTTGTGTGTACTGTAATCCTCGTGAACTAGCTGAAAGGGGACAATAACAAAAAAGTGGCTTCTTAAAAATAAAATAGCTACTTACTTGGTATACATCTTGGTCACAGCAAACAACAGAGAATGTACCCTAAGATAAAGGTTACATTACAAAACATTAAAAGTCACATCAAAATTACTTGATACATGTGAACCTTAAGATCACTTCATACAACAGTTAATGTACCCCAATATCATATCATACCACTTTTAATGGACACCAATGTCCATCCCACCACTTTTAATGGACCCCAATGTCACATCCCACCACTTTTAATGGACCCCAATGTCACATCCCACCACTTTTAATGGACCCCAATGTCACATCACACCACTTTTAATGGACCGCAATGTCACATCACACCACTTTTAATGGACCCCAATGTCACATCCCACCACTTTAAATGGACCCCAATGTCACATCACTCCACTTTTAATGGACCCCAATGTCACATCCCACCACTTTCAATGGACCCCAATGTCACATCACATCACTTTAAATGGACCCCAATGTCACATCACACCACTTTTAATGGACCCCAATGTCACATCACACCACTTTTAATGGATCCCAATGTCACGTCACACCACTTTTAATGGACCCCAATGTCACGTCACACCACTTTTAATGGACCCCAATGTCACATCACACCATTTTTAATGGACCCCAATGTCATATCACATCACTTTTAATGGACCCCAATGTCACATTACACCACTTTTAATGGATCCCAATGTAACATCACATCATTTTTAATGGACCCCAATGGCACATCACACAATTTTTAATGGACCCCAATGTCACGTCATACAACAGTTAATGGACCCCAATGTCAATCTCAATATTGCACCAGTGTTACATCTGTAATGAACCTCAAGGTCACAATGTCACATCACACCACAGCTAGTTGACCTAAAGGTCACACCATAGTTAATTGACCTAAAGGTCACAATGTCACATTACACCACAGTTAATAAACCTCAAGATCACAATGTCATGTCACACTACACTTACAAATTAGAGTATTACTCAAGGATATATCATTTAAGTATTAATTAATTTGCTTTATACTACTAGACAATTAATGTTTCTTATAGAAAAATTATATCAAATTGTATTATGTAAATACAATTAATACCACTACATAAGTCACAATGTTGACCAGAAATCATATGACAAGAGGTTGGCAATGCTGCATTGAAAATGGCAATAAAATATTTATATAAGTTATAAAGATTTTCTCAGTGCCAAAATAATGTCACCTGATTCTCATGTAAAAGAATATTTAAAAATATTTACTCTTTGAATTTTGTTCGGACTCAACTAACACCAAAATGTTGTAATTGAACAGAATGCCACAGGATTATTGTACAGTGTCATATGATTCTCATATCCAAAAGCACAGTAAATTGATACAAAATGTTCTACATAAAATTATTGTAGTACCACCAAAGTTATCTCCCTTGTTTCATGAGAACAAGTCTAGCTCATCATCTTGTGTGACATTTTCTTGAATGTACTGCATGATATCATCTGTATCGAGGTTTTCAACTGTTTGTTTTTCTGGTTTTTCAGTAGTAGCTGATTGATTCGGTAGGATTGGTTTGACCTCAGAACTTGCTGGTTTCTTTGGTAATACTGGTTTAGGTGACAATCCAGGCTTAGGTTTCTACAATAAAATTTTGATATAAGTTTACAGTTAAATGAATTCTATGACATAGAAGTAAGAAATCTATGACTTAATGTCTTTACCTTTACAGAATAATAAGAAGATGAATAAGTATGATATATATGTATATCTATATTATACTGACCAGCCATTTTCTAAATCAAAATAACATTGACAAGAATCAAACCTGACCAGATCTATTAACCTAATTCCTTACTCTGTAGTAGGGAGACAGATTTACAATACGATAATGATCCCAGGTTTTTTTGTACTTTTTTTTTAAGGCATTTTATATTATAAACTGACTTCCTATCTCAACAACAAGTTCATGATGATTTATTATGCAATAAATTATATTTTATTGTTCCATAATCATTTTGTCACTGTCTTAATCTGCAGATTTCAAATTTTGATGACTTGTTTTTACTGGAAAATTTGTCAAAGATAACGCTATACTGAAAATTTGGTTAACTGCAATTAAGTTGATATCAAATACCATATCCAAGCATATCATCATTTGTTGTCTTTTTTAATTTTTGTTCATTGCCAAGGATATAATCTTCCTTTGACAGAAAAAGAATTTTCATTGATCGACATCTTTTAACATAATACACATTTTTATAATTCAGTTACTGGTATGAACTCATACTATGAACAGCAATATTACACATGTTTCTGGCAGTATTAATATATGGAGTCCTTACTATTGATGGCTTCACAGCTTGACACTCGGAAGGATTTGCAGAACTCTTTGGTTTCCGTGTTGCTGGTGTTGGTTTTTGTGTTGAAATTGTCGGTTTCTTTTGGGAGACAGGTGGTTTCTGTGGGGAAATTTCTGGCTTCTCAGACTTTTCCGGTGGAGGATGCGGAGATGGTTTTGGTTTGGTTTCAGGCTTTTTGGTTTCAATATTTAAAAACTTATCCAAATCATCATCAATCCTGGTGAAAAAGAGAAACTTTGAAAAAATGTTTCTAATGGCTTCTGATTTTCAGACTTTCATAGTTCAAGACTTTTACATTTAAATATTTCAAGATTTTTGTGTTTACGTATTTTCAGATTTTCATATTTATGTGTTTTTAAACTTTCATAATTACATATTTCAGAACTTTCATATCATAATTACATGTTTTAAAACTTTCATAATTACATGTTTTAAAACTTTCCTATCTAATATTACTTACTGGAAAAGGTCAGAGTTATCATCATCTGTAAACATACTTAAATCTTCTTTGGTTTTAGGGTTCTTTGCATCAGGAAGGACAAAGTCATTAGCATCATCCTCTGTAAAAGCTCCAGTTAAATCTTGGTCTTCAAAAAGCTTGGTATCTCCTGTTTTAGATAATAGTATAGTATTTGCTTTTGATTCAGCCAAGAGAGAAAACAAGTCCAGGTAACTTAGAGACTAATGCTTAGTGAGCAGAACTCTTACAGGAAAAATTTAACGAAAGTTATTTGTTATTACTGGGTATATATTACCAGGCATTGGCATATTGCCAAATAAATATATCAAAGTTATATTTAGCAATTAAAACCAAAGCATGAGAAAAATTTGAAAATTTAGTGGTAATTGATACTTTCACAAACTTTCTAAGTAACATGTGCAATCTAATTTATCAGAAGCTGTTACCTTCAAATCTGTTTCTATAGTCATCTCCAATTTCGATATCTTCTCCGACAGCATCTTCCTCTTTGGAGAAAAACTTATCTGTATTCTCCTCATCATCATCATCATCAAATAAACTATGAACCGACATAAGAAGTTGGTTTTATAAACATACAAACACTAAGATGTATGAATAGACATAAAATCCTTCGACAAAGGTTTGAGTTACTATCAGAGAGGTGAAAATATAGGTTTAGTACAAATTTTAATTACTAAACTTAGTTTTCAAGTTTCCGGAATACAAAATATAGTTAAACATTAGTACTAAGAATGTATTCAGTTTTTTTATACTTGTAAATGCTAGATTTTAAACTCTGAATGCTGGTAGGTCTAAATTTTGTGCTAATCTACTATTGAAGCTATAGGTTCTTGTTTATTCAAAAAGATTCTGAAATCTATAATTCAAAGTCCTGATTTGAATATATCTTAATTGTAGGCAATGAACAAGCTTTAAATGGAGTTCCTACATAAATATTATATCAACTGATCAAACCATTTCCTGTGGTAGAACTTGCCTTTGTTCTGTGTCCGGTGCATCCTGCAAGCTTGAATCATCTTGATCTTCTGAACTCTTACTGTTGCCTGGGTCTTCTTCAAGCTCTTCATCCTTTCTGTACTTTCCTGCTTTGATTCCATTTACACCTGAAACATACTTCAACAACTTAATCATAAATTGAAACAACAATATGAATAATGTCTGCATTAAAGTTAACATGTATATGAAAATAATTTGATCATCAGCTTTCTTGGATAGTTAAGTTTACCACCACTAACACAGTAGTCATTGGCATCCATCTACCATATTTATCTTACAATAAGACATGTCTAACAAAAATTATCACCCACATCTACTCTAGTTTCAGTAGCCTGTATAGTTTGAGTGAGAGATTATAAGTTGGCTCCGGTCTGATAATAAGAGTGCCTCCATAATTTGAGTCAGGGATCCTGTGTTGGCTCCTGTTCTGTAATAAACCTGCCTCCCTACTCTGAGTCAGAAATTGTGTGTTGGCTTCTGTCTGGTAACAAGCCTATCTCTATAGTTTGTGTCAGAGATTGTGTGTTGGCTTCTGTCTGGTAACAAGCCTATCTCTATAGTTTGTGTCAGAGATTGTGTGTTGGCTTCTGTCTGGTAACAAGCCTATCTCTATAGTTTGTGTCAGAGATTGTGTGTTGGCTTCTGTCTGGTAACAGGCCTATCTCTACAGTTTGTGTCAGAGATTGTGTGTTGGCTTCTGTCTGGTAACAGGCCTATCTCTATAGTTTGTGTCAGAGATTGTGTGTTGGCTTCTGTCTGGTAACAGGCCTATCTCTATAGTTTGTGTCAGAGATTGTGTGTTGGCTTCTGTCTGGTAACAGGCCTATCTCTATAGTTTGTGTCAGAGATTGTGTGTTGGCTTCTGTCTGGTAACAGGCCTATCTCTATAGTTTGTGTCAGAGATTGTGTGTTGGCTTCTGTCTGGTAACAGGCCTATCTCTATAGTTTGTGTCAGAGATTGTGTGTTGGCTTCTGTCTGGTAACAGGCCTATCTCTATAGTTTGTGTCAGAGATTGTGTGTTGGCTTCTGTCTGGTAACAGGCCTATCTCTACAGTTTGTGTCAGAGATTGTGTGTTGGCTTCTGTCTGGTAACAGGCCTATCTCTACAGTTTGTGTCAGAGATTGTGTGTTGGCTTCTGTCTGGTAACAAGCCTATCTCTATAGTTTGTGTCAGAGATTGTGTGTTGGCTTCTGTCTGGTAACAGGCCTATCTCTATAGTTTGTGTCAGAGATTGTGTGTTGGCTTCTGTCTGGTAACAGGCCTATCTCTATAGTTTGTGTCAGAGATTGTGTGTTGGCGTCTGTCTGGTAACAGGCCTATCTCTGCAGTTTGTGTCAGAGATTGTGTGTTGGCTTCTGTCTGGTAACAGGCCTATCTCTATAGTTTGTGTCAGAGATTGTGTGTTGGCTTCTGTCTGGTAACAGGCCTATCTCTATAGTTTGTGTCAGAGATTGTGTGTTGGCTTCTGTCTGGTAACAGGCCTATCTCTATAGTTTGTGTCAGAGATTGTGTGTTGGCTTCTGTCTGGTAACAAGCCTATCTCTATAGTTTGTGTCAGAGATTGTGTGTTGGCTTCTGTCTGGTAACAGGCCTATCTCTATAGTTTGTGTCAGAGATTGTGTGTTGGCTTCTGTCTGGTAACAGGCCTATCTCTATAGTTTGTGTCAGAGATTGTGTGTTGGCTTCTGTCTGGTAACAGGCCTATCTCTATAGTTTGTGTCAGAGATTGTGTGTTGGCTTCTGTCTGGTAACAGGCCTATCTCTATAGTTTGTGTCAGAGATTGTGTGTTGGCTTCTGTCTGGTAACAGGCCTATCTCTATAGTTTGTGTCAGAGATTGTGTGTTGGCTTCTGTCTGGTAACAGGCCTATCTCTATAGTTTGTGTCAGAGATTGTGTGTTGGCTTCTGTCTGGTAACAGGCCTATCTCTATAGTTTGTGTCAGAGATTGTGTGTTGGCTTCTGTCTGGTAACAGGCCTATCTCTATAGTTTGTGTCAGAGATTGTGTGTTGGCTTCTGTCTGGTAACAGGCCTATCTCTATAGTTTGTGTCAGAGATTGTGTGTTGGCTTCTGTCTGGTAACAGGCCTATCTCTATAGTTTGTGTCAGAGATTGTGTGTTGGCTTCTGTCTGGTAACAGGCCTATCTCTATAGTTTGTGTCAGAGATTGTGTGCTGACTCCCAGGCTTATTATTGAATAATCACAAATTTTATCAAAGGAGACTTAATAAGTGTGAACGTCACTTCAAGCACACCACCACGTTTTTGTATCAGATAGAGTAATATAGTGTATGTCATAAGTAAAATGCTACAGTGTTGGATCCTATGAGTGCAGAATTTGGGTCCAAACTATGATTTTTAGTCATGAATCAAATTTTTAGAATCAAGTAACTTACGGAACACGACTAGAATACCACAATGTTTTTTAATTCTGTTGTTGACTTAGTATGGAATTTCCATATATATCTAGTAGTAACACTTGCTCTGGCTGGATGCACTTTTCTCTCTTCACTTCTCACAACAAGAGGGCAAAACTGTGCTGCCAGCAATAGTGAACGTAACTCCTGGTGTCTCTAGGTGATGTTTTACCCGTAATAATTTTACAGCTATTATTTTTATTGACAGAAAACCTAATAATAATGATAAAATCTCTGAACATTCATACCTAAGAATTCCAGTAAGACTGAAGAAGTACATAGTTTTGGAGTACAAGCCACAAACTTCAGGAAAGAGTCAAGATTCCCACGTCTTTCTTTGGTCACAGCAGCATTGACAAGGAGGGTTTTCTTTGATAAGGGAGGTAAGACAGTTCCTGAAAATTTAGCACTTAATTTGGAGTGTAGATCTTCAAACTCAGCAAATTTCTTAGACACCTGTAAATAAAAGTATTCAAAATCATTTTTTACCAATTCAGTTTCCCAAAATAGACTCCTTTAAAAAAACAGCCATCACAAAAAGGATATTTGCTGTTTCCATTGGTATTAGTGTAATGCATTACATGCAATATAAAGATTTTTGAAATAAATTTACATGCAATATGCTGCAGAAAGTATATTATTCAACTCACCATATACTGGACAACATCAGTTGGTTTATGTTTAGCAGACTTGAAGAATGGTAAGGAAGACACAATGACCACATGGAACTCAAAGGTTGACTGAAGCAATCCTTTGGTTTCTTTATAAGTAGGCACTGTAATGTCTACTCGGGTATCTTTGTTCTTTAACTCTCTGGAAGTGCATGAAACAAGATTCTATTATTGACAATGCACACATACATGTAGATTGTATGTGACAAATGTGTCTATTCTTAATCAGCTAGTGAACCAGAGGTCCTTGGTTCGATATCCAGTAGAGAAATAGAAATACTGACCCAAGGGATTCCACATTTGGCAGAGACAGAAATGAAGAACCAAAACAGCTCTCATTTTGTTCCACTCTTCTTTTTGAGGATGTATTGAGGCCAAAGTTATAGAGTCTGAAAGATCTCTATTTTTTACACTAAAATTTATTGTAATCCAAGTCAGCGTATGTGAATGAATTTTGGTATTATATTATTATATACAATAAAACCCTGATAAGTTGAACTCATGAAGACCCTTTCAACAGTTCGAGAAATACCAGGTATTCAAGTAATCAGACGTAGGTCAAAGATCATCGCGTATCGCTCATCTGTGTCTGTGAATAATGCACAATATTCGATTTATAATTCATTAACCAGTCCAACTCACGATGATTATTAAGTTTTGATTGACTTATAACTTCATTTTGTTTACAATTTAATGTATAAAATGTATAAATATGGTAACATGGCACCAACATCTATTCTGCAGAAAAAATGTCGTAAACAATTATGGTTTCTAAAGCCATTCTAAGTCCCTGCTTAATTTCAGTGAATGTAGAAAATAAGACATGAAAAGATTTACAGCATTTTATATAAACTGATGAATGATTAGTACATAAAGCCATCGAATTACAGTTAAAGCCTTTGAAACTATGATGATGCAGAATATAATGTACCTAATATGCTTTCGGTAAGTTGAATTTGAAGAGTAAAAGTAAAGATGCGAAAAGTTTTTGACATGAACATACTTGAGCATTTGTGTGAAGAACTTGCATGCTATTAATATGTTATTAACATCCTCAACTTCAACAATTGATAAACTACTAAATGTAACATTGTCTTTATTCACTCATACCCTCTCATTGTGTAGCACTCCGAAAAATGGTAAATGAACTTTCTGTTTAACAAAGTTGATTTTTACATCAAATAAAAACAAAATTTATTAGAATGTCCTAATAAGACAATCAACAGATTTCAGTGCAAGTATGTAAGGTTGGTGTGCAGCATACCACTGTTAACCTTGTACTTATCTGCTGTCCTGCCAGACACTTGTATAAACACACAGAGGTGAACGCAATCATTAATCTGAAGTTGGATGTAGTCGTGTGTGATACAGGTAAATTTTGGCTAGCATTTCACATATTCAAATAAAGGTAGAAATACTAAGAACATATGAAGAGGCAGGGACAGAAATTAGTTCAAGGAATGCTGGGTATTTGAGGAATACAAGCTTAAATACTAGAAATATAAGGATACAGTTGGGACGAAATGGCCGATTTGACGATTACGGGGTATTCAAGTTATATGGCTTCAAGTTAGTGGGGCTTTATTGTATTTTGAAAAGCCATATAATTTGTACATGTACAAAAAAGTAGTTACAGGTACACATGTAGGTAAGATAAGGTATACATACAATGTTCTTTTGCAACAAAAAAAAAGGAAAGAAAAAGTCCAAAAAAAAAAAAAAAAAAAGAAAAGAAAAAATTGTCACCTTTTTAACACGACATGACACCATATATATTTCACTGACTACAGTGTTACAGGTATTAAGATCAATATTGTAAATGGCAGGTGAACACAAATTATTTGTGTTCTTTTTTTCTCTTCATAAAAAGCAATGGAGGTATTCAAGTTTGTGATTTTCACAGAAAGCAAGCCTGAATTATTCAGTTTTTGTGTAAAATGTACAATGTAATGTTGCATGGGTTATTTGGCCAAGTCAAAAACGGGATCTCAGGCGACTTTGTTGATGCAAACTTTGTTAAAGATCCTGTAACTGAGTGTAAAATATCAAATGTGGGACTATACTATATATGTACATGTACATTGTATGTTGTGCCTAATCTAACAGTCCCCGCCCCCGGTATGTTCCATACAGGATCGATGTACCCAAAGCAAACGAATTACTATTACGAATATAGTCGTGATCACCAGCCGATGTACAGACATCAAAGTGTCCAATGTGCTGTTGATGCGCTGTGGAAATTTGTTACAAACACTCAATCGTGCATCATAGTATCTATTTACCGTACTGTCACAGTTGCTGAAGGCATCCTGGATATGTTGTTTTTGTTGCTCTACTCTAGTAGAAACACGCCCACTTATCCATGGAAGCGGCCATTACTTTGGTGATACTATTCACCGCCTGGTGTCAGCCAAGTCAATGGGCGTCTAACAAAGCACTACTTATTGCGACCACGGACTTATATACACAGTATATAAGTCCGTGTTGCGACTAAAATAAATCTTTACATGTGATAATGTTCACTGAAAATATCTTTTAATAGACTGTAACCAGTTTTGTGGTAATATCATAGGGACGATTCTGCGGGACCATCTGCTGTTAAGTACGTAGAAATCATAACTACTGAATATTTTTTTTTTATTATTATTGAATAATAGTTTATAAATATTACTAATAATATCGTTTCGACATCGGTTCAGAACTGTTATGCATTTAGAACTGATCATTGAGCTATATACGTACACTATTCAACATTCAGAAAGGACTTGTGATTCAGTACATTCCACACAAAACGTTATGAGCACAGTATAAATTTCATTAGCATTTTTTTTTCTAAACACACACTTTTGCATGTCCAACCGTTATCAACCTTCAGAAATGACGAAATAACCCATCACTCAATGTCCGGATGTCAGTGTACAATTGTCGTCTGTCAAGAGAATAAAAATCGACCATTAATAATAGGTCATACCTTCTTGATTCTTTTCGAAATCCAAACGCCACGGCGCGCGGCACCAGTCATTCCTACAGAAGAAAAGGGTCAAGTGATATTCTACACCAAATTTGGAGAAAATCTTGTCATTCCCACAGGGAAAAGATCACCTTTCCCTTTTTGTGTCCCATCCCTCAGACCCCGGGGCATCCAAATCCACCATTTATACATAATTTATTCATCTTCACCCAGGGATACTTCTGAGCGTTTTGGTTAAAATTAGCGCCTTTGTTCATTACGTTAGTGCTTTCCAGGGGAAACTTGATTTTCCAACTAAACTGTCATCGAGAAAGCACGATCTCGCTATAATAAAGTCTTCTAAGTTTGAATGAAATCGGTTGAAAATTTGGGGACATGATCAGGGTAAACTGAGGGTAAACAGGTCTAGAAGAATTGACTTTAACTCTTTCAAAACTCACGGATTTAAACAGTTAATGGGAAGAACAGTGCAATAGTACATGTATTTGTTTTCAAAAGATTTTCTGGACTAGATTTAAGTGTTTAAAAACACAAAAATAATACATGTAATTAAAAAGATACCTGTCCACTTTAAAGAGATTTGTTGAAGTTGTAGGAAGGGATATCTGGACAAATAAACGGACGAATGACAGACAATGCTATACCATACTCGTCGTTAAATAAGTTTGACGAGCGCAAGAAAGTGAACATTCTCTAAAATTCCAGGAGTTAAAATCCTGGTCGTTAGTGATCATGATCGCAATCCCTGGACTTTCCTGGATGGAAAATGGACGACATTTAAAATGTTATAATTATCAGCACTGAATATTCATTTGTTTCAGAATTCTTAGATGTACACGTCCCTCTTGAATGTTGACAGGGATGAAATTAGATATCGCCAATACATGAGAGTTTTAGTGCTCTGGGACCTCTTTCTGTATTTCACTCGTATAGACCCCCAGTTGTCATTAATTTTGGACCTGATCTAACATGGACATATTTCCACCTGTGATTCCCACGCCTGAAATTTGTCAAATGTTATTTAACTACATTTTAAGTAAGAAGGACTGTTTAGTATGAAACTGGATGTTTGTAGTTTCGCACATGTGACCAAATGAGGAAACAGTTGATGTATATCAGTTTTATCAATGTATGATTTTTGATGCCGGATTAAATCACCGGAATTGTTGCTTGAGTTGGTAAAGAAATCTCGGATTATGAAGACAACCTTAGAGACTACAGATTTGTATTATCTTGTTTTGGATTTTAAACTATGCCAAAGTTGACATGGCAGATCTAGTGAGTTTCAGGTAGGGAGTTCAAACTTGATGTGTGTGAGAGAGAGGGTGTGTGCGTGTGTGTGTGTGTGTGTGTGTGTGTGTGTGTGTGTGCGTGCGTGCGTGTGTGCGCGCGCGTGTGTGTCCGTGTGTTACAATAGTAAATTTTATGTCTTATAAGTCAACACAATCGTTGAAATATGACAACTGGGCAACTCGGCGACCTCGGTTGATTTAGCGGCACAGCTTTTAAGGAAATAAATTAAAAGTAATCAAATATAGTGACCCTGCTCTTAAATTGATAGTTACATATTCTTCTTTAAAATGTAGACCATGTCTGTTTCATTATATTCTATTCGTTGGCATCAGAGCAATAAAAAAAACTTTAGACAGACAACTTTCATTTGGCAATATTTTACCAGTCTGTTCCTGACCATATGATCATATCACAGTGGTTATTTCTTCATCGGTAGTAGAGCCTCTTTTTGGATAAAAGGGGAATTCCCATCTCATGAAGAGAAAGATGGCCGACACAGAACAGACGAACGGCGACGACACTATGATATCATCTATTACAAAGCAGAAGAAGAAAGAAGTTGTCCCTGGGGTGATATATCTCAGTAGAATTCCCCCTTTTATGAGTGTGAAAAAGATACGCGATATATTCAGTGAATTTGGAGAAGTTGAGAGGATATTTCTTCAGCCAAATGGTAAACTTTATCAACATTCATTATATACTGTCTCTGTAAATATAAGTGTTCTTTATTTTATGTACGTGCTTCGAATGTATTTACATAGGGGCAACTACATATCTTCTTAGTGCACGTTGCATAGGCCTAGACACCGGTAACCTGGCCTATACTAATCCCTTCTGGGATTCCTCCTTGGGTCTCCTTTATGTCGAACGTCTGATATCAATGTTTCCATAGAAGAATCCCAGAAAGAATTCAGGTTTATAATGTATTTCGAAGTCCGAAGGGTTCTGATTATCAGCGATTGTATTTTTGTCGACTACGGCAAAGACAAACATTAACTCGCGGAGAGATAGTCATGGGATTCCTCCTTGAGGCACATTTATGATAGACGACGAGAGACGCTTTCAAATGTATGATATAAATGAGTTCCAAGGACGTTTATGATAATGTCCCTTGTCCGACGAGGGGAATTGTCTAATATCATATATAAGTGAGTCCCAAGGAGGATTCCCAGAAAGGATTAGCAGACCAGGAATACTAGTCTCCTGTGGTTCAAATTTTAAGGTGGTTTAAATTCTGATCCTTATTTTTCCTATGATACATCGTACACAATTTACCCTCAGAATTTCAAATACTTGTGGATGTTTGCATGGAGAAAAAGCTAACAGGCACATTGTATCAGCACAGTAATGTCAGATAATCAATTGGCTGATCATCGGCCTCTGATGATATAGTAATTACGCTTACAGTAATGCTGATTGATATTGCTCAAACATCACTGACGTTCATTGGTGAGATGATACCAGACAACAGGAGGAGTTGTGGAGACAGGAAACATGTAACCAACTAACTAATGAACACACATCAACAGCACTAGTATAGATGGTGTACAAATGTATGTTAAACATTAGAACTTCCTCAGAGCACTACAGGGACATGTATAGTTTTATATTGTGTGAATAGTGATATATACCTGCACAGTCTTTATCTATTGGTGTTTATAACATTGTGTGCACCTTGATATAACTAGGCTGTATACAATCATGTATATGTCTAGTTGTCTTATAGAAGTTGAAATATATTTTAGTTCCAATTTTGTATTTCATGGCTTTTAAAATTCCATCAAATGCTAACAAATAAACAAATTTGAATATAGATTTAAATTTCCTGTATCAAAGTACACAATACATATCAATCACAGGGTTTTCCATAAGAGCCGGGAGCCGGCCAATTTGACCAGCTACTTTGATGATTTGGCTGCCTACACCAATCCAGTTCCGTAATAATGTTCCCTACACGTACACGACAGGCCAGCCTCCTACTTTCACTACACAGCCTACTACTAACAAAATTATGGAAAACCCTGAATCATGAGTATATCAAAACAAAGAAAACATACAGAAATATACATGTTGATCACTCGCAAATAGTTTAGTTAATGCATATTGTTAAACTTACAGAGCGAGGAGCAAATACCAAGAAAGGTAGACTGTTCACAGAAGGCTGGCTTGAATTCAGCAACAAGAAGATTGCCAAGCAAGTAGCAGTAGCATTAAACAACACCAATGTTGGGGGTAAAAAGTCAAGTCAGTGGTATGACGAACTGTGGAACATCAAATATCTGCACAGGTAACCATAAACTTCCCCTGCATGTATTACCATCTTTATCTTTATAAATGTAATAGAAATATATAAGAAGTTGATTAAGTGTTCCTTCCCTTACATGAACACTTTTATTTGTTTTTCTGTAAAAGAGGATAATATCTTCCCTTTAATTGAAGTGTAGGCTCTTAAAAATTTGCTTACTTCATAGATAATTATCCTATACAATTTTCAACATTCTATCTCTATTTGTTAAATTGTTTTTTACATTTGTTACCATAAATTTATGCCAGGACAAATTTTACATTGAAAACTTTTTGTGTAAAATATTTTATTTTCAAAGTGGAAAAAGCACCCACTTTCCTTGCTTTGTAACTGCACAGTGAGCTGAAAGGTCAAATCTGTTAAATATGTATAAAATGTGAATCTTAATCCCTGAAGAGATTTGGCTCATCTTCTGTACAGTGCATGGATTTATATACAATATATATAGGAGTTCTCTAAAATATGGTTAATGCTGGTAAAATGGAAGAATTAATTTACTTACTCTTTTGAAATCAGTCAGGGAAGGAAAAAATATCAATTCAAAAGTTAATGTATGCATATTGAGATAAGCTGTGGCCAAAATAATTTAGAATAATATACTTTTGTTAAGCTCAAGTTTCTTGATTTAAAAAAAAAAAACATTTTTGTTGACATTTGATTTAGTACACTGGAAATCAACTTTAAAAATGATGCTATCTTTTCCTGGTTATCATTTCAAGGACATATAAATTATTCATTGATTTATATAACCCACAATATCAACCAAAATCAATTCCCTACTAAAATGAATGATTTAAAAATATTGAAGTCCTAATCCTAAAAATTGGGGAAAAAACTTGAATATACTTTATGGTGTATTGTGTAATAAAGTTATAAGTGTATGTTTGTAAGCTTGATATATCCATTAGTGTGTGTGCAGAAAGCTGAGTGTATAATCTTCATGTTAAAATCAATGTGTTTTTATGTATAGTATCTTTTTGTATGTGTGGTATGAAAGAAATGATAGTGTAAGAATGTTGTTGTCTGCTGAAATGAGAACCCACCTGTGTGAGGAAATATTCAGTGATGTTACATATCTTTTCATGTTTTTGAAGCAAAAAAAAAAAATTTCTGGACGAGAGGAAAAATACCATATGGTTGAGGACAAGCGAGTATGATTTTACATACAGAATTAGGTATCAATAATTGTATGTACTCTGGGTAGTAAATGTTGATTTAAAATAAGATCTTATCCTTATTTCATTTATCCTTCACACAAAATGAATTTTGTATTATGACACTAATATTACACCATCTGCTTATATTTAATGTCCATCTTCCTTATACAGATTTAAGTGGGCTCATTTAAATGAAAGATTGGCTTACGAGAAAGAAGTACGCAAACAGCGAATGAGGACAGAGATTTCACAGGTAAAACGTCAGGCCCAATTCCATATCCGTAATGCTGAAGGAGAAGAGGTTAAGAAACACATTCAGGAGAGGAAAAGGAAACAGGGCAAGCCTGTCCATGGGGAAAAAGATGGTAGTGTCACTGAAACAATTTTTGTGATAACACAGAAAGACACCGAGGAAGACAGGATGTTAAATAAGAAAAGAAAGTTAGAAGGAAAGAAGGACACTTCTATCTCAATGACAAAAGGAAAAAAAGAGGTAGTGAGGAAAAAATCTGCAGCAGCACATTCATCATTTCTCAAAAACATTTTCTCAGGAGGATTAGTGGAGGGGGATAGCTGAATTAAAAATGTGTAAAAAAAATATTGTTAGTTTTATTTTACTTCAAATACTTCTTTTGCACTCTTTATCAGAGATTTAATTAATATCTGTTTGATTTCAACAAGATTCTATTTCATCTTTTATTGGCATTTGTACCAAGAAATGAAGAATTGTGAAGGGCACTTTAAGTCAGATGTTTTGGTATATACTTTTGTTGTCTAGAGATGGTTGCTAGATCAATACAATCACAAGACAACTAATTGCAGTCCCCAACAGAATGCAAAACTGCAAAAGATTGCACTGCACGTGAACCCATACCCAAAGTTAGAAGTTCCGGTGACTGGTAGTGTAGGAGATGGAGTCCAGACAAACAATTTCTTTGATGTAGGTAAGAGGTCAAAATGTTGGTCAGAGTGACCTACTTTTGATACAAGACGCACTAGGATGAACCTACATGTACACACTTAGTAAAAAGTTCTAGGGTTAGAAGTGTTAGACCATGGACAAAGGTTTTCTTGGACATAGATCAAAGGTGAAAATTAGTTCAGAGTGACCTACTTTTGATACACAACACTTCAAATATAAGAGTCCTTACAGTTTTTTTTCTATGAAGATAAAGGTCAAAATGTAGGTCAGAATGCCTAACCATACCACATGAATTATGAAGAAACAGAAAATTTAGTCCTCCACAAGTTCTAATAGATATATTTAAATCAACTAGAGCAGGTTTAGCAGGTATAGATCTCTTTGAAACAGTGAACAATGAATTTAATATTTATCAACACATCTGTTTTTGTAAGTGCTGAAACTGGTGCCCACTATCATATGATCTTTTTTGGTTCTTGTTTTTTTCCCCTTCTTTTATTTCCTGATGATGATGATAATAAATATTGAGTTGCTAAATCCAATAAATTAATCACAACATGCTCAAGTGTTACCAATAATTGGGTTTGTTGATTTTATTTCAAAACCCTGAAAGACAGAGGCGACAATTTTCTTTGAAAACTAAGAAGGTTCCACTAGGGACCAGAAATAATCTGAAAATTAAATGATTTGTGAAAGGTCAACCCAGTGCTTTCCAAGAAACAGCAATAACTAAATGAATCTTTTAATGGGCAGCAGATTGATGATCAAATGGAGCACCCTTATTGTTCATTCATTGCTTTGCTCACCTGTCTGAAACAACTTCATTTTTAAAGTCAATGCAAGATAACTTGTGTACTACCAATCGGACTGCTTTATCCATCAAACTGTTGTTTGTTCTGTCATTTACTGAGCTGAACACTGCCCACAGTTAAGCAAGGATCATGAACTTGATGTATACATTGATCATAATAAGGCAATGTGCAGTGTACAAAATTCAGGGTCCACAACCCTTTAATTACAAAATTATTGCCCTTAGTTAAAATTTCTTGTCCAGAGCATAACTTTGCTTTCATTTAAGCTAGGACAATAAAACTAATGTATACATTGATCATACAAAGACAATATGCAGTGCACCTATGTTCGAGCTTTCAAACCCATAATTACAACGTTATTGAATTTTATGTTTGAAGCATAAATTTGCCTGCATTTAAACAAGGATAATGAAAAGAGATTTATACATTGGTTATACTAACTGTGCAGTATATCTAATTCAGGGCCTGCATTCCCTTGATATCAGAGATATTGCCATTTCTTACAAGTTTGTGTCCTGAACATTAACTTTGCTTGAATTAAAACAAGGATAATGAGACTTAGTAATCAAAATCAAAGGGCTTAATAAGGGACCAACAGAAAGCTACAAAAGTATCTTTAGATCCGTCCTTTCCTAAGAAAGAGTGGTAATAAAACTTTCATTGTCATTTACTGATGGTTGCTTGACAGCTTTCAGTCCACAAAGAGCTAGCTGCTATGGGAAACCTACATCAGAGAAACCCGCACTTTTCAGGAAATTGTGATAACAAGAGTTGTTTAAAGATGGACACAGGGCTAAAACAGCTCCCCTACCTTCCCGAATCTGATGATGGTGGGCTAAATATTAATGACTTGTGTATCTTAATGATGTTTCAAAAGATGAGTGATTGAATGGAATAATTAAAGTTAAACAGATAATAAAAACAGAACACTGTATTATATCTCACATTGAAATTTATTGAATATCTGAAATTAAACCATGGGCTCGTAGGACACATGAAATCAAAACATAGATTTACACAGGGAAAAACACAGGACCCGTTTAAAATTAAGCTTAAATGTTTTAATGCTTCAAAAATATCTACCTCATATGTAATGTCAATTGATAAAAAATAAGGATCATCTTCAAAAATAAAACAGCTGATTTTAAATTGTGATGCACATAGCAATGTCTGTTTATAAATCAGAGCCATGATAATTAATGTATATATATTTCTTTCACACTGTACGATGTATATAAATTTAAAGAGGCACAATTTTTTTGTGACAAGCTCACAAAGACTTGATACAATTCCACCCCACAGTCTATATGCAATTGTATATACATATGTATATGTAGTATATGTTGACCCTGATAGTTTATATATTTTCACAAGTATAATTTTGTATAAGTTCAACAATATTTAATTAATTTCGTTCAAACTGACCAAAGGTTTACCATAAACATTTGTATCATATATGGACTGTGGGTTGGAATTTGTCTTGTGAACAAGCTGATAGCAAAAATCTACAAAGTTGTGAATATTTTTCCCACTCTGTAATAAAAACAATGAAATAATTGTGATTTCTCAGCTATCTTTATGAAATCAGTGTTGTGAACTGTCTGATGTGAATATTTTTCTCACTCTATGATTAAATATAATGAAGTGATTTCTCAACTATCTTTATGACATCAGTGTTGTGAACTGTCTGATGTAAATCACCATCTATATATCCTAGCACCAGTCCGCACAACAGTTACCTGGTAAATATGTATATCATAATCTACTGTGACCTATAGGTATATATGTTAACTTGTATATATTAGTGAATATATAGTTGAAACAAAATAATTATACCATATTTTGTATCAAAATGTGTGGTAAGTATTGCATTTACATATCAAACACCTGCTTACATAGCATCATTTGATTTATATATTGATATTTGATACCCTGGTTAACATTTCAAGAACTTAATATAATTAATATCCATCTCACACTTTCATTTAAAGTATATTCATATCTCATGTACTTTAATGTTGTTTACATTTCATCAATATGACACGCTGTTTACATAGTATTTACAAGTATACATATAACTAACAAACATGCACGCAGCTTTTTCCACTAATTTGGGATGGGACCTTTTTGTCTCATTCTGGGAAGAAAATTGGTACATTGGGAAGGCAAAATTTGCAAGAGTAAATTGCAAATTTTAGGAATTAGGCTTACGTAAATTTAATATGATTTCAATTGGGAACAGGCCCATTATCAGCCCCTAACATCCTGATAAAAAGCCCTGACGACACATTTCCTTAGTAACTGAATTCTGGATGGATAGCTTCTATGAATTTTACTTGTACGGATCAGCAGAAGTCAAATCATAATAATTCTGCAAAAATACATTGGTATGTTTATTAGAGTGTTTTAAAATGCTTTCAGCTTTTGTCAGCAAGTATACCAACTTCTATAATCTTATTGCTAGGATTCATCGTTTCGAACAGATTTGTTAAATATATGTTTCATTAAAAGTTCATAGACTGCATTGTTGATTCCCCAAGTGATAAAAGATCGAGTGTAGTTAACATGTACACCACGAAAGAGCTTACGAACACTATAGTCACGTTCTTTAAGCACAATGGCAAACATTTCCCAGAATCCAAAGAATCGACCACCAAGATTTGACTGTACACGTACCTTGACAACATTTAAAGGATAGCATGCAGTGCTGATGGCTGCACCAAGAAATGCACCGCTAAAAAAGTTAAGTGCAATCTGTCCATACTCAGAGCTTGCCTGAGGATGAGCTTCCATGAAATAATCTCGTACCAGGAAAAAGGCAATGTTACTGGAACAATTCCGGTAGAGAATGGCAGACTGGCCACGATAGAATTCTTTCAACCCTAAAACCCGTACTTCCTTGAAAGCATGAATTGTGTTATTGAATCTACTATGATAGTTTCTATCCTGCATCAAAACCTGAACACGTTCAAAAGGTGTCAAAACAGATTCAAAAACTCCTGCCATGATGGCTGCAGATGATCGATTAATAGGCGTCCAAAGATTGGGGAACTCTTGCTTCAGATTCCTCTGTATTTTGTAGTATGAGCCAAACATGAGAGACATAGAGGTTGTTTTCTGTAGAAGTGGGGGAAGAAATCCCCGGTACAGGTTACGAAGTCCTTCCTTTTTTAGTTGTCCCATGGCTCGCCAGACCCGTACACCATACAGTTGTTGGCGAAACATGACTTTATTGATGGGAAAAGTTGTTGTAATATTGACAAGGGCAGCTCCCCATCCACATACAAACTCACTCTGGTCATGAACAAATTGGGGAATGATGAACACATGATCATATGGGCCTTTCATTTTCGTTAAAGTACTTTCACATTCTGCAGCTGCAGTCGTACTGCTAAGTTTCATGTTATATCTGATCCATACAACAGTACAACATCAAAATGCTCCCCCATCTTCCTCACCGACTAAGGTTGATCGTCCTTCAAAACAAAGCAAAAAACATCAAATTTTAAAACTTGTGATTCAAACATGTACATTATAAATTTGATCAATATAATCTGAAAAAGCTTATCTTGATCACTCTTGTTGGCCATGATGGAAGGAAACTGGTATACCCAGGGAAAACTCATGTGGTCGTGCAGGTGACCCAATACCTTTTAACATCCATTTGGAAATCGATCCTGGATGTATAGATGAAACGTGGGTGCATTACCACTGCACACCCCCATCCATCATCCTTGCTTAAATTATTTTGACTCATTAATAATTAAGGTGAGAGAGGTCAAATGTTAAAATCTTGGAATAAGTTTCCTTTCCATACTCAACAGACCAAGGATCATTAGTGCTATTTGGAAAGTTACATGCGGAAAGAAAGGTCTACTAAATTTATTTAAATGAATGACCTTGTCCCATTACTAAAGTGACAGTGTTAAAATCTTAAAACAACTTCCTGTCCACGCCAAGGTACATGATATTGGGCCAGTTGCATAATAAGGGCTACTAAGTTTATTCAATTAATGACCTTGACCCATTTTCAAGTTCAAAGGATTTATTTGAATTAAAATTTGCACTTTTCTATAATCAATAAGTCCAGGGTCATTGTATTTGACCATTAGTGTGCTGGGGAAGGTTTACAAGTTTCTTCAAATGAATGACCTGGGTCAACTTTCAAGGTCACATTGGTCAAATATGTTCAAATCTTTTAACATCTTAACAATACCTAGCATGCCATGGGTCATGTTATTTATGTAGTAGAACGCTTTGGAAATAGAATTTCAATTCTGCAAAAATTGACTTATTCGTTTTCTTTTAAAGCTGCAACACAGGTCAGGAATTCATGACCATGAGGAAGTGTTATATATTTCATGGTATATTTACTCAGGCTGGGAGGCATCAACGAATACTAAATTCATACAAAACAATGATTGGTAAATTAATTTGAGGCAGCAATCAGAACTTGACATCTGCTCCATGTGCCCAAAGGTTAGCAAGCTTTAATTATGTCAATGTATGTGCAAAATCTTGCAGCGAAATAAAATACATTAAGTTTTCCATTTGATTATTTATCACTCATAATATTTCAGGGTTGTACTGCTTATTTGGACCTGGATAATTCATACTACTTCAGAATTTAGTGAGCTTAAGTACTGCGTCCCATTTATATTTACATAACAACTTGTCTGAATGATATTTACTCTGTTTAAATATGAATACATCTTAACGGACACGCAGTTTGTCATGCTGTCTGCGGTTTACTAGACAGGGGAGATAATTCCAGAGCAATTCTCCCATAGTATTTTTTTTTTGTTTGTAACTTGTTATAGCAGACTATACTCTATACTTCGGTATATATCATAATGCAGTTTCCGTTATTTCAAAAGGTCAAGAGAAATATATCTATGTCACTTTTGGTCCGTAATATAACCCATGGTGACCTTGGATATGATCTATCGCATTCTTTCCACCAGACCCGTGAATGAATCTGCAGACTGAAGTGACCATGCAATTTCATTATATGTCACGCATATTTCGAACATTTTCATACATACATGCTTGTGTGACTGTGGTCGTTTTTTCAGACTTGTTATTATATTCGAGTTTGTGTATGCTGCTGGGAAACCGCCTCGGCGAACAGAGGAGCTTGTCATCGTGTTACCACCGGCTGTGACGCCATGTTTACATGTGTTCAAGGGAGGTTACTCGCGATCGGAGTAGCTATTACAAGTTGGTAAGCTAGGCCAAAATGAGTTCGACGCTCAGCAGGAACATTTTTTGTCATATTCATTTTATTCACTTTCCTTATTTCAGTTTAATAATAAATCAAAGTAGAAATAATACAGACCAAAAATGAAACACTTTTGGTTCCCCGTAAAATAATCCGTGTTGTATTACATGGCCACAAACACCGAATTTAACGCAGTGAAATTAAATTTATTATAGTAATTGTTATTGTCCTCTCTTATTTAATCAGCGAACAGTTTTGATAAACAAACTATACTAGTATTACGATATTTCAGCTGAACAATCACTTTCTGATGACTCGAGTATTAATAAAGATGTCAATAGATAAATAACATCAACATCACTAAAAACATCACTGACACGTATGGAAAAACTGCACACAGAAACCAAATAATTTGATTTTTTTCTAGGGATTTACGATTAGTTGGCATATACGCTCCTTTTGAAGATTAAAAGGGAGCTACATCAAAATTTCAAAACCGATGGATGTAATAGAGACGTCGATATCTCGATATGTAGATGAAATGGATGTATTAGAGACTTTGATACCTCGATACGTAGATGGAATGGATGTATTAGAGACTTTGATACCTCGATACGTAGATGGAATGGATGTATTAGAGACTTTGATACCTCGATACGCAGATGGAATGGATGTATTAGAAGCTTTGATACCTCGATACGTAGATGGAATGGATGTAAGAGAGACCTCGATATCTCGATACGTAGATGGAATGGATGTATTAGAGACCTCGATACGTAGATGGAATGGATGTATTAGACACTTTGATACCTCGATACGCAGATGGAATGGATGTATTAGAAGCTTTGATACCTCGATACGTAGATGGAATGGATGTAAGAGAGACCTCGATACGTAGATGGAATGGATGTATTAGAGAACTCGATAACTCGGTATGTAGATGGAATGGATGTATTAGAGACCTCGATATGTAGATGGAATGGATGGAATGGATGCATTAGAGAACTCGATACCTCGATATGTAGATGGAATGGATGCATTAGAGAACTCGATAACTCGATAACTCGATATGTAGATGGAATGGATGTATTAGAGACCTCGATACCTCGAAACGTAAATGGAATTGATGTATTAGAGACCTCGATACGTAGATGGAATGGATGTAAGAGAGACCTCGATGTCTCGATACGTAAATGGAATGGATGTATTAGAGACCTCGATACGTAGATGGAATGGATGTATTAGAGACCTCGATACCTCGATACCTCGATACGTAGATGGAATGGATGTATTAGACACTTTGATACCTCGATACGTAGATGGAATGGATGTATTAGAGACCTCGATATCTCGATATGTAGATGGAATGGATGTATTAGACACTTTGATACCTCGATACGTAGATGGAATGGATGTATTAGAGACCTCGATATGTAGATGGAATGGATGTATTAGACACTTTGATACCTCGATACGTAGATGAAATGGATGTATTAGAGACCTCGATACCTCGATACGTAGATGGAATGGATGTATTAGACACTTTGATACCTCGATACGTAGATGGAATGGATGTATTAGAGACCTCGATACGTAGATGGAATGGATGTATAAGAGATTTCGATACCTCGATACGTAGATGGAATGGATGTATTAGAGACTTTGATACCTCGATACGTAGATGGAATGGATGTATTAGAGACCTCGATATCTCGATATGTAGATGGAATGGATGTATTAGACACTTTGATACCTCGATACGTAGATGGATTGAATGTATTAAAGACCTCGATATCTCGATATGTAGATGGAATGGATGTATTAGAGACTTTGATACCTCGATACGTAGATGAAATGGATGTATTAGACACTTTGATACATAGATAGACTGGATGTTTTAGACACTCCGATACGTTGATTTAATGGAGGAACAAACAACGTGTTATTAATAACTCTTCTTTCCCTTTCCTATCTAATCTCTTTATCCCCAACATCATTTTCCTGTTCTTAGAACCTTTTTTTGTGATATTCACTTTACAACCATAATTAACATATTCTGTTGCTTCCAGTGTGAAATATTCCTGTATGTAAAGACTAAATGAGGTGATAAAACTTGTGTCAAATCCTTTTGATTATTTTAAATCTCGTTTAATAACGAGTAAAGTACACAATTTCTATAGATTTCATTGTTTTAATTGATGTATATCCAATATGATTAGAATTGTTATGAAAGTTTAACTTGTATTGGATAAGGAAAGTTAAACTATGGTTTTTCACGAAAGGAATGGCATGGGGTACGTATGTTTCTTAAGGTTGATTTTTAGTATTTATTTCTGTTAAAATATAGATCGATTTAGAACATAAAAAATATGTTGCCATGTTATGTCACCGTTTGCCCCGGGTCCCCTCCTTAATCCCCCTCCAAGTAAAATATCTCAGCATTAAAAAACTTGTAAGGGTTATCTCCCTTTAGAAAATTGATTTTGGAAAAAAAAACACAACTAAACACTATAACACGATGGGGAAATGTTAATTCAGCTAAATGATAAATACAATTGAATTCTAGATCTCTCGTTTTGGTTACTGTACAATTCGTGTTCTGTGTCTGTGTTATTGTAGGTACTGAGAAATTTGTCCGGAATCCGATCCGTCATTTACAATTGATTCAACAACATCCGGTCAATGTGACGACCAAGGACGGAGTCCATGCTCAAGGTTCGTGGATCGGCTTATGTAAGTCCTGACAAGCAATTGATATATATCTAATATGAATAGGCCTACCATGTTACAAAATAGTATGAAAAAGACAAAGCCTTTAGAGAGCGTAGAATTTGCTAAGTAACTATATACTATATTCCTATATCATATGTTGCATGTACAAGTAATTACCGAAACCGGCATATACATGTACAGGTGTCGGCTTAAATAAAGCAAAGCAAATAATAAATCTAATGTTCTGTACACTTCTGTATGTTTATATACTTATAATGCAGTGCTGTAACGGACACGCAATGAAGCGTGGGGCGAGGGGGATGCGTGTTACTTAATGTTACTGGGGGATCTGACTGCAGTCTCGAAGGTATCGTGCAGTTGCACATGCATTTGTACATGTATGTGTCGATATTGACGGGATTTTTCTCGCCAAGCAGGTTCCAGGTGTGGTACGGAGAAAGAATGAGTTATTGAATTCTCCTGTTCTTGCATCTAGAACTTTGTATCTCCAATTGTGGTTGTTTAAGGGAAAACTTGAAATCTTTTCGGGCGTGTAGTCGTCTTTCGGTGTTTGTTAGGCAACCCACTTCTCTGCTGCTGTAGCCACCAGTAATGAAGTTAAAGTCGTTTTGAAGTATTGATTGGCTATGTGGGATTTTTACTTGCATAACTGTGTTGTCATTTCACAAACAGACAATGTTTCTGTTGACAAGTACTTGGTTCTATTTCATTATTAATTGTTATTAATTGCCTTTCCTTATTGCATAATGTAGATGAAAGCAAAAATGTTAATTTCAGAAGTTGTAATTATACATGTACAAAAAGTGTATTTTACTTCTCTAATCAGGTTTACCCAGCCACTTGATCACTTTTTAGCATTGTCAAGAGTCTGGTGGAACAAGATCATTCCTCTACAGGAGGATTACTTCCAGTTTCAGGACCATCAAATATAAAGACTACAAGACACATGGAAGGAAGGAAGGTAACTCTGTCCATTCTCTGATTTCAAAACTCTAGCTTTTGAAGAACTCTACTGAGTGAACTGTGGCGCTTAAGAGCTACACTTGTACTATACTTGAAATATGATAAAATGCCAATCTGCTATTTTACCAACTTAATTGTCAAACACGAGTATTCTTAAATTGTCAACCTATTTGCTCAGTTTGTCTCAACAATATAGCACTGAACAACAAGATACAATTCAAGTCAATGTATAAAATATTTTTAGTCCTGGAGATCCATTCAACAAGTAGCATAAGTGTGTAATAGGACCTACAAAATGGGCTTGGGCTAGTTTCCTGTAATCAATTAGCGATTGAACATATTTGCATGGTACAATCAATTTACCAAAAGTAACTGTGATTACTTTAAACTATTTTTCAATTACACAAGTTTTGTCCTCCATTTTTAGTATGATCTTTTACACAGAATACACACAAACATTATAAACATTTGATTAATTCTCAAAATCAATGACAATAGCCAGATCTGTATTGTAGCAGGTGGTATAGAAAAGGGATAAGTTATGATACAATTGTTTGATAATAACATCATACCTCTAATGCATCACATTTGAATAGCCTACATCTATCAGACCTGAAAATCATGGTGTAGTTTGTGCACTGCTAGATATAAATGAATGGCAAGGTTTCATTTCAATTTTGTTTTGAAATTTATGAAGATTGAAAGTCTTCAGGAATTCCAAAGTGTGCCCTCAATCCTGATATTTGTATGCACAGTGCTTGTCAAGTGTTGTGGTAATCAAACACCTAAAGAGTGTTGCATGTCACCTGGATTTAGGGGAATAAGTATTGTCTGTGTTTCAATCTGAGTGTTTAGATTGGCCAAAACCAAACACCGAAGAGATGAATGTAGGTTATTGTAATATATACCATGGGTGTGAAAGTTCATAACTTGATATCAATGTGATGACCAATCGTACATACTGGCTTAATCTTAGGTAGTACAATATATGTGTGCATGCTACAGGATGTGTTGTACCAGCAACCATTTACTCTTCTGATGAAGAATTGTGTTTTTTTCAGATGCAGTAGCTAATCACAAATCAAGCTGATTAATTAATAGATATGAAATATTTCGGTTTGACTTGTGTTGTTTTGGCTCATTAGAAACACAATGAGTTGCCGTAAAAAGTTAATTGTGACACAACTGAAACGACTGTAATTGTAATTGTAACCACAAAAAGCAGTGTATTTATATGTAGATATGGCTGAAACAAAAGTATGGGAATGTTTTAACATTAGATGTGCTCTAGAATTGAAATTAAATCATGATGAAGGCAGAGTCACCATGTAAGGTTACAGACTGAATGTCTTATACAGCGCTCACTCAACTTTACATTTACTATCAATATTGATATATTTGTAACATGGTATTTTTTTATACTGATGAGCTTCAACTAAGCTTTTCATTCCTGAAGTTTTACATTTAAGCTGCTGACAAGCCAATTTGTCTGCATAAATGAAAAGGTCCTGGGTAGCTTTGTAGAGTTCATGAGATCCTGGATCATAACTGAAACAGACGTGGGATAATTGTAATTGTGTAATGGTAATCAGTTGTAATCAACCGTAAATTCTGAAGTAATCAAAAGAGCATGATATAGTAATGGATGTATTTTATGATGAGTGTTTCATGGTATATATTGTATTATATGAAGAGTGTAGCATGGTGTGGAATACATTGTGTGATAAGTGTATCATTTTTTTATTGTATTGTACGATGAGTGTAGCATTGTATCTATCATATTGTATGATGAGTGTAGCATTGTATCTATTGTATTGTACGATGAGTGTAACATTGTGTTACTTGTATTGTGGGATGAGTGTAACACTGTATCTATTGTATTGTACGATGAGTGTAACATTGTGTTACTTGTATTGTGGGATGAGTGTAACACTGTATCTATTGTATTGTACAATGAGTGTAACATTGTGTTAATTGAATTGTACGATGAGTGTAACATTGTATCTATTGTATTGTACGATGAGTGTAACACTGTATCTATTGTATTGTACAATGAGTGTAACATTGTGTTAATTGAATTGTACGATGAGTGTAACATTGTATCTATTGTATTGTACGATGAGTGTAACATTGTGTTACTTGTATTGTACGATGAGTGTAACCTTGTGTTACTTGTATTGTACGATGAGTGTAACCTTGTGTTACTTGTATTGTACGATGAGTGTAACATTGTGTTACTTGTATTGTGGGATGAGTGTAACCTTGTGTTACTTGTATTGTACGATGAGTGTAACCTTGTGTTACTTGTATTGTACGATGAGTGTAACATTGTGTTACTTGTATTGTACGATGAGTGTAACATTGTGTTAATTGAATTGTACGATGAGTGTAACATTGTATCTATTATATTGGATGATGAGTGTAACATTGTATCTTTTGTATTGTACGTAAACATTGTGTTACTTGTATTGTATGATGAGTGTAACATTGTGTTAATTGTATTGTACGATGAGCGTAACATTGTATCTATTATATTGGATGATGAGTGTAACATTGTATCTTTTGTATTGTAAGATGAGTGTAACATTGTGTTACTTGTATTGTACGATGAGTGTAACATTGTGTTACTTGTATTGTACGATGAGTGTAACATTGTGTTACTTGTATTGTACGATGAGTGTAACCTTGTGTTAATTTTATTTTATGAAGAGTGTAACATTGTGTTAATTGAATTGTACGATGAGTGTAACATTGTATCTATTGTATTGTACGATGAGTGTAACATTGTGTTACTTGTATTGTGGGATGAGTGTAACACTGTATCTATTGTATTGTACGATGAGCGTAACATTGTGTTAATTGAATTGTACGATGAGTGTAACATTGTATCTATTATATTGGATGATGAGTGTAACATTGTATCTTTTGTATTGTAAGATGAGTGTAACATTGTGTTACTTGTATTGTATGATGAGTGTAACATTGTGTTAATTGAATTGTACGATGAGTGTAACGTTGTGTTACTTGTATTGTATGATGAGTGTAACGTTGTGTTACTTGTATTGTACGATGAGTGTAACATTGTATCTATTATATTGTACGATGAGTGTAACATTGTATCTTTTGTATTGTATGATGAGATTAACATCGTATTGTACAGTGGGTGTAACTTGTTTTGAACTGTTGTATGTGCGTTGCTCTCTACCATATCGTTGTATGATGAGTGTAACATCGTATTGTACAATTGGTGTAACTTGTTTTGAATGGTTGTATGTGCATTGCTTTCTACCATATTATTGTATGATTGTATTTTATGCTGACCTCTGGTTGCACACAATAGTGTGACTGAGTGAACTAATAAATCTTGAATCTTGATAACAATGAACAATTTAGTCGAAGCTTGTCAGACAGTAAAATATGAGTAGTAGATCCACCCACATATCATAAACAAACAGCCGTGGTCCGAATGGTCAAAGTAATAAAGGGAAACGGCACATGTCACTGACCATGTATGTAGCAACATATACATTTGTGTAAACATTATAAAATGTTCTATAGCTGCAAATACTATGTTATAATTACAATAAGCTGATGTAGATTTAGAAAGATACTTGGGAGGTATAGTGTACTAAAATTAGAGTAACAGCAGAGGTCAGGTTAAGTTTTATGAAATAAAAGTGTTGCCTTCCAACATGTTTGAAAGAAATGTAGATTATGTTAAGTTACTGCTGCAAATACTGGTATTCATGAAACATGAGTTTTATTAAGTTGAACCTAAATTCACGATTTTTGCACTTTCTCAATCTCTTTGTTTTGATGATGTCACAGTAAGTTATTACACCTTTAATCTATATATATATATTCACATAGGAAGGTGATAAATTATTTTCAGCCAATCAGAGCTCTGATTACACGTGTCATAAAAATAATGTATGTAATGTGTGTATTTTATATTCATCACGAAGTAGTTATGTGATTAAATAATTTTTTGCAGGAACTGCTTCAAAAATTCAGTCATCTTTACTGGCTTTGAAAATGAATAACTTATAGATGCGAAAAAGAAGGAATGGCATCTGTACAGTTCAACTGGACCAAGATTGGTAGAAGAGTGTTCACATTTGTGAAATACGGCTGTTTTCTCCACTGTGTAACAGAGTATGTGGGAACATTAGCAGTAGTAAGTAGTTAGGGCTATAACCTACTGTATAGTAGATACAGTGGCGTTATGAATTTTACTAAATACACCGTACCAGTTAATATGTTCAGGAGCAATTACCAGTAATAACAATGTTGACTGTTTTTGGCCTTAGACCTTAATCAAATACAAGATTTTTTATGCTGGTGCTGATAATGGGCCCCATTCAAAATGGAAATTGTATCATATTTAAGTCAAAATTTGCAACTCACTCATGAAATTTATTTTACCATATTTATCAATTTTTTGTGAAAATGTGTGAAATGTGCTTTTGTGAAAGCAAATGAGATGTGAAAAGAAAAAGAAGGCCTTGGATCTATCTGCTACAACACTAATCACTGGCACACTTCATACTTGGGTTTAATTTGGTGAGACATTGTTTGTTAATTATCAAATGTAGGTCACTCTGACATACATTTTGACCTTTGATCTACATCAAAGAAAAGTTTGTTGAACATTTGGTGGGGGACGGTAATTTAATGAATTGTCTTGTATCCAGTTAAGTTCAAACTTCATATTGTGTAAATATACCACTGATAAGCTTCACATCACTGACTGTTACCTACAAAGTGGAATATTTAATGGCAGCATCTTCTTGTTTGGTTTGAGGACTAAGCTGGTGTCACTCTTACTGGATTTTCCTGGTTCTGGTTGTTTAGGTTTATTGCCCAGAGTGAACAGCCAGGATAATTTTGAGACAAGGTCTCCTTGTAGTAGTTGTAAGCAGCACATCCCATGCTATACAGAACAATAAGGTTAATAAGTCTTACCCAGGGGCACAACTATGTCACCACATACTAGTCTCTATTTCTTAGCTTCTTATGAAACAAAACCTTACTTACCCAGGTAGTAAATAGTCAAACCATGCTACTCAGATCTTCCTCCAGGATTATTTAGTCCATCGATCAGTTGACATAGTTATCACAGCCCATTTATAGTTCTCAGTGAGTGATCTTACAGGTCTGTAGCCAATATATATTACTGCTGAGTAAAAACACATGATAATTCTTTGATCTGTAATATTCTCAACCCCTGACATTCAGTTATGTGATATGTATAAGTAGTAAAAAGCTTTTATTTATTTCAGTGTTCAGGGGTTTCTATGGAGCCTACAATATATTCTGGAGATATTATCTTGGCTGACCGTTTAACCATTGCACAACGCAAGTTAGAAAAGTAAGTACATCACTTTACAGTAAAATAATGATGATAATAAAGTTGAGTAAACTTTAAAGTGTAAGATGAAGGATGTCGATGAATGATGGCAAAGTCCAATAATTATTGAAGTTGAAATAGTCTAATGTTAAGATGATAACTATTTATAAGATAATCTATGTAAGTAGGGCTGTTTTGGCTGAGTGGTTCAGATGTCTTATCGTCTTTATCACGGACCTCCACCTCTGGGTCATGGGTTCAAGGCGTACAAGGAGCAGTTGCCAGGATCTGGCAATAGGTCGATATTTTTTCTCAGGGAACTCCACCTTTTCTCCACCACCCAAACTTGGCACATTCTTAAATAACTCTGACTGTTAATAGGACATAAGTAACAATAAACAAACACCGTAGAAAGTAAACAAATGCAATAGTTCCAATAACATTGGAGTGAGATGTCCTCTAGAAGTTGTTCACCTGTCTTGTGCCCCACAATGGTGACCAGACTGGTCATGACCTGTTTAAATGGTCACTCCCAAATTGGTCATAACATGTGGATGGTATTTTTAAAGAGAATCTTATTTCAGTAATAAAATGAGAGAGAGAAAGAGAAAGGAAAAGTTTTTATTCTTACTCTGGAGAATATTGATAAGTTTGCCAATGCTTTTCATTGCTTCCTAATTTATTATAATAATTTAAAGTATATTTGAATGCATACAGGTGGAAAAAACAGATAATGAGAAATTAAAAAGCAACATATATATTCAGTATATCAGATTGAAATATTTGTAATTTAGTTCATTTCCAAAAAAACTTCTCATTTCTAATGAGGTATACTGCAGTCTTGAATTTTTCATTCCACTTTCCAACTCTTTAATTACTTAAACCAGGTGACGGTCAGTTGAGGTAGTAAGAGATTTAAATAATGTGAAATTTTCCTGAAATTGAAGGACACATTTAAGATAATATCATTTTAGGTATAACGAATTGATTATGAAAAATACACCATTACATGTAGAAACAAACAAGTCATTGTTGTGTATTTTCAGCTTACCTTGAAGAGCTAGAACTTAACTTGAAATTGTATATTGACATTTGAAAATAAATGAACTATCAATCAATATCAGTAGCATCACTGATTGATTGATATTAATGACTTATTTGACCTGTGACCTTTGGTGACCTCTTTGTTGACCTTTTACATAACTTTACATTGCAATACGACACAGATAGAAAGTGTATGATATTAATTTACATTGATGTCTTATTTGATAAAAAACTTTTCATTGTAAAAAGATGTGAGAATGAAATTTATATATTGATTGATAATGATGACTTATTTGACATTTGATGTGTGTTGACCTATATATTGACCTTGACATGTGTTTGTCATTTTAGAACACAAGCAATTGAAAAATATTGACTGTTTTGTTAAGAAGATATTAACAGAAGTAAAGAATAGACAGGAAGAGGATAGATTGATGATAAGTACCTCTGAATTTCCTCATTAGGAAACATTAAAATAGTTTATAAAGTTGATGAAACAAAATTTGAAATATGAACATGATGAACTATTAGAATCATGGACTCTGTGACCAAATCAACATGGAGTTGTCATTTTCATACAGATCAATGAATTTGTGATTTATTATCTTTTAGTGTTCTCCTTAAGTATTAACACAGAAATATATCCCATAGAAAAGTAGGTGATATACAGTTTCTGACTTATAGTGAAGTATGCCCTTAATTTCATAATTCAGGAAATAAGCACAGATTTGTGTCCCTTCACAAATACATGTATATTACACATATTATCCTTTCCACCTCCATGCTCTCTATTTTAACATAATATTAAGTTAATATGATCAAATACAAAAGTCACAGACAGACAAATCCACCAATAGTTGTTTTGTATTCATCAGTTCCACTGGTCCTCTCTTTTTTTCTTTCTTTTTATCAGTTATTGCATCTTGTGACTGACAGAGAACTTTTCTTGTTTCTACTGTAATAAATGTTGTTACGTATTTGATATTTATGGGATGTACAATTTAATACCATCTAATGCAATCAGTGTGCATTATTCAATATGGCTACTAGCTATGTAAAGTGATTTTGTTGTCAGAAATTTTGAAATATTGTCCAATTTCATGGTTTTATATGTAGATGTATGTGAAATATACATAGGTTTTTTTTAGCTATTATCACTGACAAAATGATTCCTGATTGGTAAAGATTTATGGATCATTCTACTGCAATCAAGTTTTGATATATATATATGTGTGTGTGTGTGTGTGTGTGTGTGTGTATTATGATATGGCAAACATTATCATAACTTTCCTTTGTCTTATTCAGGCAAGTTGAATGGGTATTGACTTCTGATAATTATAATCAAGAATTTTTCAGGTTTTGAACCAGTCTGATTTGTGGGTAAATTTTGCACTTCAATAGCACCCTTAATTATCCAGTTACCTGATTTGACAATATGGACACCACTTACTTGCTTTTATTATTTTTCATTTCAATCAAACAAATATGATACAAGTGTAAGTGTTTTTTGACCCTACAAAAACATAAAAAAAAAAAACTGACTTGTCAACAAAATGTTAATTCGAACTCGTATTCTAAGTATAGGGCAAAATATGACAAAGAGAAAGACTTACAAAGACACATGAGCACAAGTAGAAAAGGACAGATGTTCAAAAGAGGGTAACCATCCTCTGTATCATCTCACATGATTAATAATTAACAGAATGGTCACCTTAGTCTTGCTTCTGATTCTCTAGGTTTTATCTCAGTTATAATTGGTACTTAACATACTACTAACACTGCTCGGCTAGAAGTTCCATTCTCCTCATAATGACTGCGAGGATAGTCTGGAGGATTTGTGTAGCTTTCCCTACATATGGAAATGCATTTAACATTATGGGTTAATTCTGTTAATACCTTTTCTATGTTATTAGGTGTGAGTGGATTTATCAATAACTTCCAGTATTTTCCTTCTGATTCAGTTTTTTATATCTTTTTGCCTGATTTCCATACATTATGATTCACCATTTAGTAGAATCACTCAAATTAGATCACTTCCGGGTTTTCATGTCCTAGATTATCATCTAAAATTCTTTAAAACAAGCGAGTGAGGCCTATTCTGCCCCACTGCCACCACCCACCCCCTCGTTTTTTTTTAACTCGTTGATCAACTTTAAATATTTGAATTACACTTCACATCATCTTCTGATACATTTATTGTAGTAACATTTATTCGCCCTGTTAACATTAGTATTAGATATTACAGACTGCATGTCTAATGGTATCAAAAATAATCAAATTATGTATGATACGTATCGTGTAAGAGATAAAATGAATTGCTACAGCTCGAGGAGTTATGTACATCAGTCTTTTTCGCACAAAATAAATTTATAAAAGAGTAACCAAGACATATACAGTTTCATTACATTCATTACCATTCGAATACCAAAATCTGCTATTCGTTTCAGCTCTAGTTTCAGTAATATACAAACATTTCTAATTTTATTTATAGTTAAGGTCACCGATATGAGAGATTAAAGTGACATATTTCTTTGATTGTAGTGGTGAGATTGTGCTGTGCAAATCTCCAGAAGACCCATTTATGTATGTCTGTAAGCGTGTTAAAGGTATGGAGGGTGAAAGAATCTTGAACAAAGGAATATATATCAAAGTAAGTAACAAAATATGTGTTATTTACAGGTAAGAATGAAATTTACATATAGGTAAATTACGGACATACACTAGCAAAAAAAAATATATATAAACAAAATAATGTACACAAATAAGAATGTAACATGATAATCATGCACAGATAAATGAGGCAAAAAAACACATACAAAAGTAATATGCAAGATATTATCCTAACTAGATAAACAAAGCATTTTACACAAAAGTAGCACACTTAACTGTGAATGTCTGCAGGAGTTCTAAATTAGGGATTTGTTTTTAACAAAATAGCTATCTATTGCATCAAACCACGAGGAAGAGAAATAATGAAATTGAAGGTAGTAGCTGGCAGGATGATAATTTGTTAATATCTTGTTTGGATTTAAGAGCTCACATGTCTGCAAAAATTATAGATTTCAGAGAATTTATAAAAGCTATGTTCCTATCGTCTTCATCTGGTCATGAATGAGCTTTCATTTCAGATTCCAAAGGGTCATGTATGGCTTGAAGGAGACAACAAATCAAAGTCCCATGACTCACGTAACTTCGGCCCAGTACCCTATGCCTTGGTGTATACCAGGGCATTTTACAGGGTAGGTAATATATATATACTAACCTGTTGTTAATTATACCGTAATTGTCTTAGCTTCTTTCTCTGTCCTCATATCACAGTAGTGACCATCTCTATTTCCAGTAACATACCACCATGACCATCAGCTGCTAAAATTATCCATTTTTGTCCATTGTCTGATACATTGTCTATATCCCAATGTCTGCAAATCTTTGTGTCATTATTATGACCTTTTGTTGGAGTACAATTTTTAATGACTTTTCAATCTGTATCTGTGGCCGATTTCTTTAAAAACTGATATAATTTCTCGTCGTATAAATAATTTTGTTTTCCTGAATGGCATTTGTTTTTCTTTTTTAATATAAACTTCATTTATTTTACAACTACTGTGAAACAAGTTATTTCAACTTATACTAATTACTCTTGTTGGCCAGGATGTAAGCGTGTGAGGGGACTTATGGTGGGAAAAACCGAAGAACCCCCGGGGGAAAACCCACATGGGAATTGAACCCTGATTGGCTAGGTGAAAGGCGAGTGTGTTACCACTGTGCCACCCAGCCACCCATTTAACATATATACCAATGATTTGATTACTTCCTTGTATATATCTGTGAAATAGTCTCATAGTAAAACTCAACATTCAGACATATACATAATGATTAACAAATGTGTTTACTTTCTTAACAGAATTAGAAAAAAATTTCAATCTTTTTTACAGAAAAAAAAAAAAATACTTAAGTAAAATATATCAAAAATGATTCCCTAAGACACTTGTATCATATATCATAATGATACAGCTTTTCTAAATTTAGAAACATGAGGTCTGTATAGTTGTGCTGTTCTAGATTTAGAAACATGGGAGTCCAAATGTGTATCCAATCAGAACAAGGAAAACTCATGTAATAAATTTGAATATTTCTCTATCAAAGATTGTCCTTCTGTTTTCAGGTATGGCCACCTAATAAGATAGGTCATTTGCCCAAAGAATCAAGATACGGTTGATATCACCTTTTGAACCAGTCATACAAACTACCTCCAAGGGTTGAATACAATGACCACAAGATGACCAAACTCTTAAGTGGTGGCTTCCTCAAGCTACATGTCAGCTGGTGATGAAAGTGGATCAAACCACTATAGAGAGGAAAATGAAGTCGTTGCTTTAAGCTTTAAACTTCCAACAATTTCTGAGTTGTGAGTGAATCAGTCAATTTTATGTGGAAGGGAGTTTACTGACAGTAGTGAGTGAATCAATCAATTTTATAGAGTAAGGGAACCAAATATTCTTGATTTTCATTAATTTTTTGTTTCTTTTTGATACATGTTCTCAAAATTGATATTGTCAGAAAACTGTTTACATTGTTTTCACTTGAAATTCATGCCATAGACCTGTTGATTATGGGCTAATAAATGATTTGATTATTCACTATAAACAGGTTGTTTTTTGTGAAATTGTGATCAGCATGGATTTTCTTTTGTTTTCTTTAAAAATAAAACATGCTTTCAGTGGCCTTGGGTTTTTCGCAGTTGCCTTCAAATAACATTTTATTGTCCATGTGTTCCTTCACCTGTGTATGGGTTAAGTTCTGGTAACATGGTGTATTTGTCTGGGCCTATGGAGATGTTATCTCACACACAGAAATATGTTTTGTAATTTCTGTTTGCCGCAAAACAAAAGCAATCTAGAATTGTCATTTGGGGTATGATTTTGGCACATGGCAATGGCTGTTGCTGCTATACCAAATGCTATTGTTTCTTGACAGGGGTCAATTATGTCCTAGCAGCAATGACACACTAATCTGCTGCATCAAGCCATAGATATGTATCAGATTCCTCTGCTGTGGAAGGAGATAGTTCAGAACGTCGTGCCCATACATGGAGATTAACAATTTGGTCACTCTGAACCTTTATCTACCAATGCAAATATCTTTTGTCACAGCCATTGATTCTAAGGAATGATGCATTCATGACCAAAAGCTAATTGGCAGCAGGCTTTTTAGAGGTATCAGTAAACTGTCAATGGGAGTAAATTGGTTTCCTAGTTTCTTGAAATGTGGTTTGAGCTCATGATCTTGTCAGATTGTGATGGTAATGAGAATTCACATCCTTCGACCACAATATCAGTGTTGACAAAATTACCTTACTGCTTCTAAATTAGGTGGTGACATCACCAAGACACCATATGATTAATGACAATTGTTCATATTGAAACTAATAAGAAGATTGACAGGCTCTGTTAATTCTCTTTCAAATCCTGGTCATTTGGAGCGGGTCTTAGTTATCCATGTAAGATATCGAAACACTTCCTGGCCCTACTTTTGTGTCTGTGTAGGTAAAATATTCTAGAACCTGTTTCTTCAGATCAATAGAATGTTCATACTTCATATCACATCAAAGTTGTTTCAGAAGCTAAGTTTATATACTAAGACAAGGCCTTATAACTGAAATGATGAGCAGTCGTCTTATTATTGCTTCTTCTATGAAAGAAATGTCTTAAAAGTTTGTTGGGGTAATGTTTTGTAGCCTATCTTTCTGTCGCATCCAAATCCATTTTGTCATAAAATACCAACATGTCAACAGAATCATAATCCAAACTCAAATTCAGTTTTAGATAGAGCAATATCTAAACTACAAAAAACATCCACATGTAGGCTTTTGAGAAAGTACAAGGAGAAAAAGACCAGGTGTTCTGGAAGAGCAAGTGTCTTTTGCTTCATCAAATACACCTACCGTGTAAAGCTTGATCAATCCATGGATATAGTGCTACATTCATTAAGGAGAAGGCAGTAAACAACAAGGGAGCCAACAAGTATACTAATGAACATCAAACACTTCATTACTCCCTCCTTTTACATATATGGTGCCGTTGACCACTCCAAGAGTAGAAGCTATAGGAGACCAAGATGCTACCTCGGGGATATTGAACATTGGTTGTTGTTGACTTCAGGGCCAAGATTGGTGAAGGAAGTAGTACAGGAAGCCTAGCCTTGGCTGGTGGGAATTTCCCTCTAGTCAAGCGGTAGAGTATCTGGCTAGAGACTGAAGGGTTGCTAGATCAAACTCAAATGGTGGGAGAATGATTTTCATTACTCCTTCCTTTTACATAAATATGTCGGACCTCTGGAGTACTGGGTAATTGATTGACTTCAGAAGTAAATGCGTATGGAAAGATTGTAAAGATATCCCTGTTTCTGTGACAATTCATACTCATCACAGATGATGTTGTCAGTGGATAAGTTTTAAATAAAAACATCCAATGTTCAGCTGAAGTAGATAATTTTATTTTCAGTAGATGTCAATGATCAACCTGATTAAAGAAAATGCTCATTCCAGAGTTTGCATATTCCACAAAAACCAATTCACTGAATAATCACATTCAGTTTTAAAATAACATATTCAAATAAGTTGGATAAGAAAACCTATTGGCAAAGCTTCAAAAATATGTTACAAACTAAAAGAATTAAGTTATAGAAGGTACACAGAGCTTGATGTTACAATACATTTTAACACTACTGATAAAGCACTAACCTAGGAGGCATGCATTTTATAGACATTTTCCCTAGTGCGATCTTTACCTACAACAGCATTTGATCAATGAGTTTGGGGAATGAGGGGGTTATTACTTTATAACTTAACATAGGAAAACAAAAAGAGCAAAAGTTCTGTATTTTGTTTCACACAAAAGGGGGCATGAGAAATATTTCTTGAAGGTAATATGGGAGTTAGATATTATGTACACTGAAGTTGTTATGACTATAGGTATGCACAAAATTGAAATCAAAATATTTCAGTCATGTTTTTCTTCATTTTTATATCAAATCAAGTTCCTAAACCCACATATGAAGTCTAAAGATTTTTTAAACACTTTTCCATTATATCAGTTCTCTCCTCAGACATGAAATCATATTTTTAAATGTTATTCAATCATATCAGCTCCCTCCCCACCAGTGGCATCTTCTTCAATATGTAGATCATCAAGCATCTCTTGGAGACTGATCTGAGGCATGCCTTCATCATCAGTGTCATCTGCATCAACAGCAATCTTGTTGGCATCTGCAAAATGGTGTAAAGTGAATACAAATAGTGTAAATAAAGTCAAAGTAAGTACAGAAAGTGCCTATAGAGTCACATTATCACAGGAAGTGTCTATAGAGTCACATTATCACAGGAAGTGTCTATAGAGTCACATTATCACAGGAAGTGTCTATAGCGTCACATTATCACAGGAAGTGTCTATAGAGTCACATTATCACAGAAAATGTCTATAGTCACATTATCACAGAAAGTGTCTATAGTCACATTATCACAGGAAGTGCCTATAGAGTCACATTATCACAGGAAGTGTCTATAGAGTCACATTATCACAGGAAGTGTCTATAGCGTCACATTATCACAGGAAGTGTCTATAGAGTCACATTATCACAGGAAGTGTCTATAGAGTCACATTATCACAGGAAGTGTCTATAGAGTCACATTATCACAGGAAGTGTCTATAGTCACATTATCACAGGAAGTGTCTATAGAGTCACATTATCACAGAAAGTGTCTATAGAGTCACATTATCACAGGAAGTGTCTATAGCGTCACATTATCACAGGAAGTGCCTATAGAGTCACATTATCACAGGAAGTGTCTATAGCGTCACATTATCACAGGAAGTGTCTATAGAGTCACATTATCACAGGAAGTGTCTATTGCGTCACATTATCTCAGGAAGTGTCTATAGCGTCACATTATCACAGAAAGTGTCTATAGCGTGACATTATCACAGAAAGTGTCTATAGAGTCACATTATCACAGGAAGTGCCTATAGAGTCACATTATCACAGGAAGTGCCTATAGAGTCACATTATCACAGGAAGTGTCTATAGTCACATTATCACAGGAAGTGCCTATAGAGTCACATTATCACAGAAAGTGTCTATAGAGTCACATTATCACAGAAAGTGTCTATAGAGTCACATTATCACAGGAAGTGCCTATAGAGTCACATTATCACAGAAAATGTCTATAGAGTCACATTATCACAGAAAGTGTCTATAGAGTCACATTATCACAGGAAGTGTCTATAGAGTCACATTATCACAGGAAGTGTCTATAGAGTCACATTATCACAGGAAGTGTCTATAGAGTCACATTATCACAGAAAGTGTCTATAGCGTGACATTATCACAGAAAGTGTCTATAGAGTCACATTATCACAGGAAGTGCCTATAGAGTCACATTATCACAGGAAGTGCCTATAGAGTCACATTATCATAGGAAGTGCCTATAGAGTCACATTATCACAGGAAGTGCCTATAGAGTCACATTATCACAGGAAGTGCCTATAGAGTCACATTATCATAGGAATTCCCTTAAGCGTCAAAGTGGATACAGAAAGTGTCTATAGTCAAAGTGAAAACGAATTGTGTCTAGTGTCAAAGTTAATACAGTAAAATAGGACACAGAGAGTGCCTACAGTGTCGAACATGTTTTCAACACCGACATCAATTGCAGTTTCCACCATTTATTTTAACAGATGATATATTACTGTCATGTTATAAGACCACTATTTTTAATCAGAGTTGGGTCTTATTTAACTTTTTTTTCTTTAATATGTTGATTTTTTTTTTTTAACATTTCACAATAGTTAAGGCATATTATAATTTTTTTTTCTCTGAAATAATTTTGATCAGATTCTAAACTGTGTCACTATTCCAATGCATGACAATCCAACATTTATGTTACCACAAACTTTCAAGGACTATAAGCCCACCAGCAGTGTCTACTTACAATCTCAGATTGTACAAATGACAGTAGAGCCAAACTATCAACTATGATGATGTTAGTTATCACTATTTTTATATTCTGTTTTTATTTTACTTGAACAAGTTTTGAACAAAACCAAAACAAAAAGTACCAATAAATCTACCTTTATAGATATTGACGCCTTGTCGATAATTTGGGTCCTCTTCCAAATCTTCCAAGAAATCGTTGTAATCCCTAAAAAAGTGCAAAAATACCCACCATTACACCATTAATATCAAAGCCATTGGATCTGATGTACTTCAGACAAAGACATTGAACTAACTCTCTGTTTTATGATGAATCAGAAACTTAAATCTATTAATATACAATTTAATTAAAAAGTTTTTCCATCAGTCTAGAATAGTCTAGAACATGGAGCACTAGATACATTCACAATATATTGGGTAAAGACCCAAGTTTTTCCATCAGTTTCACAATAGTCTAGAACATGGAGCACTAGATACATTCACAATATATTGGGTAAAGACCCAAGTTTTTCCATCAGTTTCACAATAGTCTGAGACATAGAGCACAAGATAAAATAATTTTGTTACTCAAATGTTAACTATAAAGTAATGGATTATCCCCCTTCAATGTGATCACTTTTCTGTACATGGTAACCAGATCCTGCCTCTGGGTTCACATTTTTGGAAAGCACAATAATATTGCAATTTTCATTTTTTTCTGTGGGTAGGATGGAGGGGGTCTGTGTCTAACCTGTCATTTCCTGTCGTGTCTTCATGGAGATGTCTTAACTTCCATCGACGCTTTTTGTTCCTTTGTGTCTTGTCTCCAAACACCTTCTTGACAATCACCTGTGAGGTTTCACAAAAAAGGTTTACATTGCTGTATGATAGAAATAAATCAAAAGTTCATATCTACACATTTTGTTTAAAATTTATGTATTTGTGATACAAATTAAACCTCTCTGAAAGTTAAGAAAAATATCCAGGTACACTTCAATATTTGTGAAATTTTTCAAGAATATGTATTTTGAACAAAATATAAAAATTATTTTAAGACCCATATTTTTCTCTTTTATTCCAAAACAAATTACTGCATAATTCAGTTTATCTTACACTATTTCATTTTTTACAACCCAATTTGAAATTTTTGTTTGGTGATATTTTAATCATTTGGAGTATATACTTACAACATCTGGGATGTTCTCAGGTTTTACCTTCTCCAACTCTCGGTTGTTCAGATTGGCATTGGTGAAATCAAATCTGCAAAAATTGTATGAACAATACACTCGCATGGTCTACCTTTTGTATTAAAAATGCACTGGCAGATAAATTTAATTTCATTTTTTTTCCTTCGCATTTACAGTAAGATAGGGTGGCAAAGATGGAATTTCTAATTATACAAAATGTAGAGGACAACTGTCTTACCCTAGTACTGTATCCCCAGAGTTCAGCAAATGACCAAGGAAGGTACGACAGAAAAGCTGTTGATCACTTAGTCCAGAGCTGGTGATTCTGGCCAGCCATACATCAGCTAGGACATGCTGCCACCAAGAACCAAATCAGAAGATGAGTAAATATGAGGTATTATGATCCCAAAATGTGCTGGAATGCATACATATAATTTTTTTTCCCAAAACCTTAAGAGATATGTTGCTAGAGTGACGACCATAAATTGCAACAAAATGTGGCAAAATGACAGAGGTAATGCTATATGCACCATAAAATGGTTAGTGTATAAAAACGAATTGACAGCTATGTCAGTACTTATAGAAAGAAGGCTGATGTTAGTCTCACCTTGTTTGACACAGGAACCCGTCGTTTACTCTGATCCCTGTCTGATATGAAGTCTACTTGCATGACCATGAACTCCACCATCTGTTTTGGAGAGCAAAGGCTACTGAATGGAGACCTGAAGAACACTGATCCACTGATCTCTGCAACTGTGCCAAAAATAATTTTATAAAAATTGTTTTCCATTTCATCACAGTTTTACCCAGTTCTGTATCATTTACACTGTCTCAATAAATAAATATAGGAGATAGGGAATCTCATCTTCATTATGCCCTAGCTGTTCTGAGAACTGAACCCCCCTCTCCTTCCCTCCTCCGCCCCTAAAAGAAAACAGAAACAAACTCATGCTGCTTACTAACAAAACAAGGAGCTGTATACCATAGCTCTCCTCTCATGTCATTTGCTTTTTATTCATGCAGTTACAAGTCAAGCTTCAACTTGACAAAGTTACAAGACAAGCTTCAACTTGACAAAGTTACAGATCAAGCTTCAACTTGACAAAGTTACAGATCAAGCTTCAACTTGACAGAGTTACAGATCAAGCTTCAACTTGACAAAGTTACAGATCAAGCTTCAACTTGACAGAGTTACAGATCAAGCTTCAACTTGACAGAGTTACAGGTCAAGCTTCAACTTGACAAAGCTACAAGTCAAGCTTCAACTTGACAAAGTTAAAGGCCAAGCTTCAACTTGACAAAGTTACAAGTCAAGTTTACAGACAGATACACTGTAAAGTGTATATAATGAAGTGAAGTGAAGTGTGTATTTACCCAAGCTTCCCCCCAACTTTTATACCATACATTAAACATTTTGATTAACAAGCTAACATGACATTGTACAAAATGTGAGTTCATATGTGTATACAGACAGGAACCAAATATGTGTGCTGATGGAAATACATGTGGAAAAGTTTAGGAACTTACTCTGTAGTGTGTTGGGGTCTATAATGTGGACAGCCTGAGTCACTTTGTAGCAGACGCAGATAGGGTTGATATTTCCCAGCGACTGAGCCAGCTTCTGTGGCAGACACACTACATTATCCTGTAAGGAAAAACACAGATCATCATCAAGGGTCTAAAATATTTTTTTATAAAATAGATTCTATACCATGAACACATCAATATCCATGTATTAGGTTTGAAAGATAAATTTTGTAAAAGTTGATGGACGAACAATATATGAAGGACAGACAGACGACATGATTTACCTCAGTCTGAGCTACAATGGCCCTCAGGCCTAGTGATCTATTACATGTTCTTTAGGAAAACAAACATTGGTAACATAACTCAGTCATTTCGTTTCATGAGCTGCAAGTGTAAGGCACTGATTGATTGATTATAAATATCAAAAATTTTTTTTTACTTTCAGCTGGAAGTCATCCGAGTAATGATCCGAGCATGTCTTGAGAAAGTGAATAAGTGTGGCATGGTGTATGGCATGCTTACCTTACATATGGGTACAATGGACACAGAGAAAGTGTGTTTGTATGTGTATGTATTATTGTGTGGGTCGTGGGTCACAAGCTCCTGTGCTACATTGTACCTGCAAGACAAGAGAGACAACTCTGTAGGTTCATTTCAGTTACATCAATGAAATGCAAAGAAAACAGACATTAAACAGTTGGATGTAATCTGTAGCTATATCTCGTGCTTTCAGCCATTCTTATCACATATAATTTATTATAAATGTTGACCTTCCTTTGACCTTATAAGTTTGATATTACATAATTACATAATCCTGTGATAAACCCATCACCTGACTTGAAGTCTTCCAAAATACTGTCTCAATGTTTGCTGATCAAAGAGACAAAAACAGATTCAGTCCTGGAATTTACATTGTGACAACTTACTTGCAGGGTACAACTGTTTCTAGAAAATCAACCAACTTCCTAGCATCATTTTTATGACCATAGTAAAAGTCCAGTCCATCTGCAAATTTAGAATACACATGTAAGTCACAGTCTGACATAGGTTATCCTAGTTTGACATAGATTACCAATTTTTTTCCCCCAGATATTTTACAGTTTCATGATCAACAATATGTATTAAGGAAACACTATGCTATCAGCTGAAACAAAAATTCTAAAGCAGGACAATAAAACTGTATGGTGTAAAGCATGCGCCAACTGCATGAACACTGGTGTCTTCACTGTGTCTTCACTGGTGTCTTCACTGTGTCTTCACTGGTGTCTTTACTGTGTCTTCACTGTGTCTTCACTGTGGTAATGATTTTGTTTTTTCTTTTTTACTTTCAAATGTCACAGTCAAAGTCACATGGTCAAAAATTTTGGCACCCCAGAAAGGTCTTGTCACAAGGAATACACAAGCCAAATATGAAAGCCCCTACCTCATATGGTGTAATAGTTATGGGCAAGGGTAAAAACAGACAAACAGACAGCACAAAAACAATTTATTTTTGTTGATACCAAAGGTTCTCTAAATCTACGAATTCATATGCTCATGGACTATAAGAATTAATATAAAAACAATGAACTTTATTTACCCACGAAATCAAGTGTACACAAAAAAAACCCATTTTTTAAAAACCCTGATAATGGAACCCCATGAAAATATATACTTTTTAATCTGTAAGTAACATTGTAAATTACATCCTATATCCAATGTAGAATCATATGAAATTTACCCTAATCTTATCTATAAATTAATAGCATATATCTTGTAATTTACAACTTTGAATACTGTGTAAAATAAAATATTAGTGGGTTCTTCTTTTGTGGTTTACGTCCAATACATCCTTTCAGGTATATGTCACAAAAATGTACATTTAGTTTCTTTAATACGAAGATTTTTTAGTCTCCTTTAATTTTCATTTTTTTATGACTATGCATAGGAGATAATAATCAATGTGTTCCTATGAAGTGCCAAACTGGGGAGACAATTACATCCAACCTGTAGGAAATCATTGTTAGTAGGATACAGTAGGTTCATCTTACCATACAAACTGCTGGAAGCTGTTTAAGTTTTTACCTTAGGTTATGGGTGTGACCACTCTCAGATACCAAATTCCTGCCCTAATCCTTGGTAAGGGTGTGACCTATCTCAGATAGAAAATACCTGTACTAATCCTTGGGTTATAGGTGTGACCACTCTCAGATACCAAATTCCTGCCCTAATCCTTGGTATGGGTGTGACCTATCTCAGATAGAAAATACCTGTACTAATCCTTGGGTTATAGGTGTGACTCAACTCAGATACAAAATTCCTGCCCTAATCCTTGGTATGGGTGTGACCTATCTCAGATAGAAAATACCTGTACTAATCCTTGGGTTATAGGTGTGACTCAACTCAGATACAAAATTCCTGCCCTAATCCTTGGGCAATGGGTGTGACCTATCTCAGATAGAAAATACCTGTACTAATCCTTGGGTTATAGGTGTGACTCAACTCAGATACAAAATTCCTGCCCTAATCCTTGGGCAATGGGTGTGACCTATCTCAGATAGAAAATACCTGTACTAATCCTTGGGTTATAGGTGTGACTCAACTCAGATACAAAATTCCTGCCCTAATCCTTGGTATGGGTGTGACCTATCTCAGATAGAAAATACCTGTACTAATCCTAGGGTTATAGGTGTGACTCAATCTGGGATACCAAATTCCTGCCCTAATCCTTGAGCAATGGGTATGACCTATCTCAGACACTAAATTCCTGCCCTAATCCTTGGGCAATGGGTATGACCTATCTGGGATACCAAATTCCTACCCTAATTCTTGAGCAATGGGTGTGACCTATCTGGGATACCAAATTCCTACCCTAATCCTTGAGCAATGGGTATGACCTATCTCTGACAGAAAATTTCTGCCCTAATCTTTGAGCTATGAGTGTGACCTATCTTCGACACAAAATTACTGCTTGGTTAATCAAAGCATTAGGTAGACCCTTGAAAGTGTGTTTTTGACTCCAAATATGACTTTGATTCTTGGATATGAAGGAACATGTCTTTGTTCACAGATGTTTTTCACATTTATAAATTTGACTTCTAATACTGCCAAATGTCAAGAGTCAACTAAATGTGCTTGGTAGTCCTAATCTGAATCAGTAGCTATAACCTTCTCAAAAGCATGAATACTCAGACCCCAGCATCTATCTAAATCTTACTTATTTCTGTTTACACATATTTTCTGACCTTACCATGAAGAGGTTTGATATTGACAGTATTAACATGTGCCTTGTGCTTCAGAATCAGCTGCTCCAGATAATAAAATGTCTTCTTATGATCCGTCTACAAAACGCCAGAAAATGAGATAGATATAGCAGGATTAACATTATTTTTTAACACTTCGTGTTTATGTGTTTAACTTCATTAATGACAGTCAATAGAGCAGTATATAACAAACTTTACATACTGGTTTAAGTCTACCAAAATGAAAAGCTTAACAGAGAACTTAATTTCTATGTAGCAAAAGGTAAAAAATGTGCTTTTCAGGAAAGCGCAAATACCCTGTCCCCATGAAAATTTCAAAACAGATATAAATATTAAAGTTCAATTATCTAATCTTATGTACAGTACCTTCTGTCGTAGCTGTACGACGGCCCTCCAGAAATCTTTAGCCTCCACTCGATGGCAGTCATCACACATCTGATTATTAACAACAAACTCCACTACAAACACCTGCTGGAGTACGGCACTGTTCATCACCTAAACATAATGTCATAAATATTTTCTGTTGTTGTAAGATCTAACTTGGTGTCTCAAATACAATTCTTTTTGCTGTTTTGTTTAGTATGTGCCATTAATTTAGGTCTCAATCATATTGAACATATATTATAACCATGCTGAAAATTAAATCATGTGCTCAGACACTCTTTCTGTTTTAGATCTAAAATTTTTTAGTTACAAAATATCTTGACAAAAACCTTGGTACCTGAAAAAAAACCCTACTTGAAAACAATGTTGGTAAACGTTTCTGTGGAATCACTGGTACTAAGAATGCTAATGAAGTTGTAACGAGGGCCAGCCTACATGTACCTTAACCTCTCACTTCTTTCACAGGCTTAATAACAACATCTTTATTATGTATCAGATTCAATGCTTCCACTGGATCATGTTTTCATTGACTCTTCAGATTTTCAAGAAATTCATATAAAATATTTCCAGGTCCTAGATCTGTCACCAATGGACAAGACAGGTATAAGTTTACAAGCTACACTGTTAAAATATTTAGACCTTACACACGACTCTCACAAATGTTCAGTACAAGTTTACCATCTAAAGTGGTAACATATTTAGACCTTACACACGACTCTCACAAATGTTCAGTACAAGTTTACCATCTAAAGTGGTAACATATTTAGACCTTACACACGACTCTCACCAATGTTCAGTACAAGTTTACCATCTAAAGTGGTAACATATTTAGACCTTACACACGACTCTCACCAATGTTCAGTACAAGTTTACCATCTAAAGTGGTAACATATTTAGACCTTACACATGACTCTCACCAATGTTCAGTACAAGTTTACCATCTAAAGTGGTAACATATTTAGACCTTACACATGACTCTCACCAATGTTCAGTACAAGTTTACCATCTAAAGTGGTAACATATTTAGACCTTACACATGACTCTCACCAATGTTCAGTACAAGTTTACCATCTAAAGTGGTAACATATTTAGACCTTACACACGACTCTCACCAATATTCAGTACAAGTTTAACAGCTACACACTGGTAATATATTTAGGCCTTTTACACGATTCTCACCAATGTTCAGTACAAGTTTACCAGCAACACTGGTAACATATTTTGGCCTTACACATGACTCTCACCAATATTCAGTACAAGTTTACCAGGTACACACTGGTAATATATTTAGGCCTTACACACGTCTCTCACCAATATTCAGTACAAGTTAACCAGCTACACTGGTAATATATTTAGACCTTACACACGACTCTCACCAATATTCAGTACAAGTTTACCAGCTACACTGGTAACATATTTAAGCCTTACACACGACTCTCACTAATTGATTGCTGATCAGTCAACCATGCACTTAAATGGATATGCCCTCCATGTCAAGAAGGTAACAGAGAACACTGAAACAATTAACATCTGCAACATTAAATGATTTTATACCTCTTTCTGAACTGATAGCTTGACTTTTATCCTCTGTGAGTGAGGTTCTGTCCACACAAAGCCAGCATCTACCAAATGTATCTGGAATCAAAAAACAATAGAAAATAAATTCTCCTGAGCATTTTCATATGACATTTGGGAGAAAAATTAGTTTGGAGCATTTATGTTTAACACTGAAAAGTAAAATTTAAGTTATGTTCAAATAGATATTATTGAAAATTGAACTCATATTCATATTTTCTTGCCAGATCTTCAGAACATTTTTAAAAAGTATCCTTTTACAAATTTTGATAAGAAAGAAAATTCTGATGCAATTTAGAATTTTCTGATACCAAAAATCCTATTAGAGCTTTTCAAAAATTCTTTTGCACATGGCAAACATAATATTTCTTTGTACAGTTACCCACATGGCTTTGAAAGTGAGCCAAGAACATTTATTTGAACAAACTTTGCAGACTTTCAACCTATCATGCTATTTGCCTAAAAACATGACCTCACACCTTTGGGTAATATTATTGCGAAGTCATTTAAAGGGAAAAGTTGAAGCCAGACACTTTGCTATTCCAGCATGGGCAGGTTAGCTATAAACTGAAAATCAACTGAAACTGCAGCTACTCAATGTATTTACTTTTTTCAAACAATAATATTTTGTCAAATTGTGTTTTCCTTTCACTTAAAACTACAAAAATGCTTTATTCAACCAACAATACCCAATGGTAATTTCACAACAATTTGTAAATTATACATGATGCTTCAGTCCATGATAAAAACTGTGAATTCTCATACAATGTGTCTAGAATGAGAAAAAAATATATATATATATATGTACATGCACACTTGTGGTCAGGTGGCACACTGGTAACACACTCACTTTTCTCCTAGTCGTCTCGGGTTCGAATTCACAGTTAGACTCCCCCCTCCCCTCCCTGCACGCTTCCATCCGAGCCAAAAAAATGTGTTCAATATAAGCTTATAGCTTGTTTATACATAAAAAATACATGTACTTCTAAAGAATTTTTATACAATGTAGCTACAAAACATTGGGAAAATAATATAAATTTTTCTGACTAGCTATAGAAGGGAATGACTCAGATAAACACTGATGACCATACCTTGCTAAGACCAGCTTTTAATTTCTTCAGACATACAGATAGAAGTTCTCTGGACTCAAGAGCGGCAACGACCCAGTGATTTGGAGGTTGTAAATATCTACATGGAGAAAACATGTATTAAATCCATTAATATCATATTAAACAATTCAACTGATAATAATGAGACATAGTGAAATTACTGAGGTCTTTTTCTCTTCAAAGTAGAAATTTGTGATTGTTTTCTATAATCACCTCTCACAGTTTCTACAGAAGTACAGGACTCCTTGTTTGGGTATACCCTCTGTAATATCGACCTGGGTCCTTAGACATGCTACACACATGTTGGTAGGGTTGGGTTCTATCTGGGTTCCACATTGGCAGCATAATCTGAAATAATTTCACAAAGTCTATCAAAGTTATTCAAACTACGATCAAAAGAACTTTGAAACAAACACTTTTCATAAACTTTCAATGGTATAGTGCAAACTAATATCCCAGCATTGCAAAATAAGACGCTAGACATACAAACATTCCATGGCATCTAAGCTTGGTAGGTCTGGCCAGAATTTACAGATAAATATTTCCTTTGATCTGATATACAATTCACTATACACTATGCTGCAAACGTAAAACTGATGATAAAAACCTTCAAGAAACAACATGAAATGGCTAATTTTCAGATGGTCAGATGATATTATGTCTATAGAAGATATCTCTCTTATATTGCTAGCATGGTATACATGCAATTCAATTTCGCTCAGTATCAGAATCAGTTAGGTAAACTTTATTGTGTTTTTACATCCTTATGCATACCTAACAGCTATGAAACACTTTTCCGACAAATGAAAATTAAGCCAACTGCCATTTCGACAGTTATTAACTAAAATTTGACTAACAAATAAATCATTAATGTAATGTTTACAAAAATTGGCCCCATACCAAGTTAACAAAAGTTAACAGAAGTTAAATAATTGTAATAAACCGGTTTTGGCAAATGTCATGTTTTGGAAACTTGTGACTGAAACATGACTTTGGCATCCGCTTGTAGATAAACAACAGGTGATATATGCATGTCAAAATGACAATTTCTTTCCACAGTTATCTTTTGAATGCCAGCCCAAGTGCAGATTGCTTATTTTTCTCACTTTATATAGTTTGATGTTCACTGACTCCAGACCGACACAAAAAAGTCATTAAAACGTCAGAATAATTCGGACTAGGTAGGGGAAATATCACAAAATTGCATATAATATGCAAACATGACTGACTGTTATATGCCAATTGGGGTATGGATTTGAAACTAATATTGCCATTTTCATCTAGTCACCCCCTTCGATTATCTCATGGGTATATTGATATATAATAGGAACTTGTACAATATATATGTGCGGTCGAATAGATTAACGAAAACTGCCCATGTAGGTTCCTGGAGGAGTCGCGACTTTGCCAAATAATATGAAATTGACATAATGAGGAATTGACAACTCCATTCGGATGATGGATCGCAAGCTAGGTAAAATGGTATAAGCTTGAAAGTGTTCATACAACACTATCTTCAGTTTTCATCATTTTGATGAAAAATATAATATACCAAGGCCCTGCGTGAAACACGTCACTGCTGTCATCCCAATTATTTTCCTTACTGTTCGATAAATTGTCATTTTCTTCAGTAATTAGATGATAAAATAATGAGATATATACTTACATGAAGTTTACAGAACGTGTTTGATTTTCCCTCATGTACTCCATGTCTATAAATATGGGTTCTTTACATACGGAGGACAAGTACTCCCAACCACATGGAGCAGTTGTGAAATTATGCCGGAAGTCGTCATGGAATAGCTAAATAATTAAACGAAGAGTATGCGGGTTCCGGTTTATAAATAAGTCGTTAATCTTTATTTGGAATTGGCGAGTTTCCGTATCCTATATTTTGTTATTTTTTTTACTTAAAAAGAACGATCTAATTCATTGATGAGTAATATGGAAGTTGATAGTTGATTTACTGATTATAAAATTATCTTTAAAAATCGTTTCTTGATGGTTAACATGTTACTCAGTTGCCATTTTGATTATCGCGAAAGAATACTTCACACTATTTCAGTAACATGTAAAAGTCAATGTAAAATTTATACGTGTACCATGCGAAGAATTGTTTCTCTTGCCATATTGAGATTTAGATCTATTGAATTTAAGTTAACTTTTAGGTTTTGAATTTCCCGAAATTTAAATAATAAATTATATAAACTGAAAATAGTTTACCTTTGGAGGCGCTCGAATTGAATAAGGGCCGTTCGCCCCATACCCCCTTCTTCTAGTTTTGAAGACATTAGAAGTTTATTATTTGCATGCCACTGATTATCATCAACAAAGAGGACTAAATTGTATACAATCGTATCTTCGAATATTCTGAAATTAGAGTGAAAGAATTTTTAACAAATGAATTAAGCAATTATGCCAGCAAATTGACAATGAACTTACTTAAATCTTACCTATATGTATTTGATATGGATTCCTTTTAGCATATGTGTTGCCATCCTGTTGTGGATTGTTTCTTCTCTCCTCATTGCCCCTCTTATTCGTTAATCAAATACGTCTCATTGTAAATTCCCGTAATCTGCTTTGGCTGAGCTGGTATATTCCTCTTAACATCCTAACAGTCCCCCATGGTTCCCATATCTACTTGTACATCAGATGTTCATGTATCCGGTTTTGAGATTTAACTATGGGAACATATGAACAAACGAAAGATTTACATGGAGACTCCTGAAAAGGAGGTATGGTATTCCGGAAGGGAAAGCGTCCTATGCTTCATCGACAACACCCGTCATGTGAATTTTGGTCAATCCAAGTAAGAAATGTCACGTTATCGAATGAGAAAAAATATTCAACAACGGAACCAACAGGCAAAATAGTTTTACGTTTTGAAATGAGAAAAAAGTTTATAACAACGAAATAATTCCTCATCTGTGGATGCCATCTAGTCGCCATACCCAGCTGCACCATTTCTCTGCCATCTAATATGGATATTCCTCATGTACTTTCTTGTCTGTGCCCATGAAATATAGCACCGAGAACATTGTACATAGGTATGATGATGATGATGATGATGATGATGATGATGATGATGATGATGATGATGATGACGACGACGAAATCCCCGGCATCTATCCCAAATTGTAAGGCTCTGAAGCATAATTTGTTAATGTACCACACTATATTTTCTGATTTTCTAAACTCGCGCCGTTTTCCCCTGGGTAGTGATAGCTCCATCAAGACACTTTCCTTCCATCGTTATGGACATATGGCTTCAAACCCATTGTACCGTTCTACGACCTTGAGATTCGTTTGATGTAAATCCGTAACTCTCGAAGTATCGAGGACATGTCCAGAGGTGCAGAGAGCGAAAGTGACCGTCACTCTCGAAGTATCGAGGACATGTTCCAGAGGTGCAGAGAGCGAAAGTGACCGTAACTCTCGAAGTATCGAGGACATGATCCAGAGGTGCAGAGAGCGAAAGTGACCGTAACTCTCGAAGTATCGAGGACATATCCCAGAGGTGCAGAGAGCGAAAGTGACCGTAACTCTCGAAGTATCGAGGACATGTTCCAGAGGTGCAGAGAGCGAAAGTGACCGTAACTCTCGAAGTATCGAGGACATATCCCAGAGGTGCAGAGAGCGAAAGTGACCGTAACTCTCGAAGTATCGAGGACATGTCCCAGAGGTGCCGAGATCGAAAGTGACCGTAACGCCTGGAGTATCGAGGACATGTTCCAGAGGTGCAGAGAGCGAAAGTGACCGTAACTCTCGAAGTATCGAGGACATGTTCCAGAGGTGCAGAGAGCGAAAGTGACCGTCACTCTCGAAGTACCGAGGACATGTCCCAGAGGTGCAGAGAGCGAAAGTGACCGTAACTCCTGGAGTATCGAGGACATATCCCAGAGGTGCAGAGAGCGAAAGTGACCGTAACTCTCGAAGTATCGAGGACATGTTCCAAAGGTGCAGAGAGCGAACGTGACCGTAACTCTCGAAGTATCGAGGACATTTTCCAGAGGTGCAGAGAGCGAAAGTGACCGTCACTCTCGAAGTATCGAGGACATGTTCCAGAGGTGCAGAGAGCGAAAGTGACCGTAACTCTCGAAGTATCGAGGACATTTTCCAGAGGTGCAGAGAGCGAAAGTGACCGTAACTCCTGGAGTATCGAGGACATATCCCAGAGGTGCAGAGAGCGAAAGTGACCGTAACTCTCGAAGTATCGAGGACATATCCCAGAGGTGCAGAGATCGAAAGTGACCGTAACGCCTGGAGTATCGAGGACATGTTCTAGAGGTGCAGAGAGCGAAAGTGACCGTAACTCTCGAAGTATCGAGGACATGTTCCAGAGGTGCAGAGAGCGAAAGTGACCGTAACTCTCGAAGTACCGAGGACATGTCCCAGAGGTGCAGAGAGCGAAAGTGACCGTAACTCCTGGAGTATCGAGGACATGTTCCAAAGGTGCAGAGAGCGAACGTGACCGTAACTCTCGAAGTATCGAGGACATTTTCCAGAGGTGCAGAGAGCGAACGTGACCGTAACTCTCGAAGTATCGAGGACATGTTCCAGAGGTGCAGAGAGCGAAAGTGACCGTCACTCTCGAAGTATCGAGGACATGTTCCAGAGGTGCAGAGAGCGAAAGTGACCGTAACTCTCGAAGTATCGAGGACATGTTCCAGAGGTGCAGAGAGCGAAAGTGACCGTAACTCTCGAAGTATCGAGGACATGTTCCAGAGGTGCAGAGAGCGAAAGTGACCGTAACTCCTGGAGTATCGAGGACATATCCCAGAGGTGCAGAGAGCGAAAGTGACCGTAACTCTCGAAGTATCGAGGACATGTCCCAGAGGTGCCGAGATCGAAAGTGACCGTAACATCTGGAGTATCGAGGACATGTTCCAGAGGTGCAGAGAGCGAAAGTGACCGTAACTCTCGAAGTATCGAGGACATGTTCCAGAGGTGCAGAGAGCGAAAGTGACCGTCACTCTCGAAGTATCGAGGACATGTTCCAGAGGTGCAGAGAGCGAAAGTGACCGTAACTCTCGAAGTATCGAGGACATGTCCCAGAGGTGCCGAGATCGAAAGTGACCGTAACATCTGGAGTATCGAGGACATGTTCCAGAGGTGCAGAGAGCGAAAGTGACCGTAACTCTCGAAGTATCGAGGACATGTTCCAGAGGTGCAGAGAGCGAAAGTGACCGTCACTCTCGAAGTATCGAGGACATGTTCCAGAGGTGCAGAGAGCGAAAGTGACCGTAACTCCTGGAGTATCGAGGACATATCCCAGAGGTGCAGAGAGCGAAAGTGACCGTCACTCTCGAAGTATCGAGGACATGTTCCAGAGGTGCAGAGAGCGAAAGTGACCGTCACTCTCGAAGTATCGAGGACATGTTCCAGAGGTGCAGAGAGCGAAAGTGACCGTAACTCCTGGAGTATCGAGGACATATCCCAGAGGTGCAGAGAGCGAAAGTGACCGTAACTCTCGAAGTATCGAGGACATGTCCCAGAGGTGCCGAGATCGAAAGTGACCGTAACATCTGGAGTATCGAGGACATGTTCCAGAGGTGCAGAGAGCGAAAGTGACCGTAACTCTCGAAGTATCGAGGACATGTTCCAGAGGTGCAGAGAGCGAAAGTGACCGTCACTCTCGAAGTATCGAGGACATGTTCCAGAGGTGCAGAGAGCGAAAGTGACCGTAACTCCTGGAGTATCGAGGACATATCCCAGAGGTGCAGAGAGCGAAAGTGACCGTCACTCTCGAAGTATCGAGGACATGTTCCAGAGGTGCAGAGAGCGAAAGTGACCGTCACTCTCGAAGTATCGAGGACATGTTCCAGAGGTGCAGAGAGCGAAAGTGACCGTAACTCCTGGAGTATCGAGGACATATCCCAGAGGTGCAGAGAGCGAAAGTGACCGTAACTCTCGAAGTATCGAGGACATGTCCCAGAGGTGCCGAGATCGAAAGTGACCGTAACATCTGGAGTATCGAGGACATGTTCCAGAGGTGCAGAGAGCGAAAGTGAATTGTTTGCAAAAGTCTCCAGGTAAATAGTTCTTTGATTGATATTTTGTTCTCGATTAATGTTTTGTATTAGTTTGAATTTAAGGCCGTAACTCTCGAAGTATCGAGGACATGTTCCAGAGGTGCAGAGAGCGAAAGTGACCGTCACTCTCGAAGTATCGAGGACATGTTCCAGAGGTGCAGAGAGCGAAAGTGACCGTAACTCCTGGAGTATCGAGGACATATCCCAGAGGTGCAGAGAGCGAAAGTGACCGTCACTCTCGAAGTATCGAGGACATGTTCCAGAGGTGCAGAGAGCGAAAGTGACCGTCACTCTCGAAGTATCGAGGACATGTTCCAGAGGTGCAGAGAGCGAAAGTGACCGTAACTCTCGAAGTATCGAGGACATATCCCAGAGGTGCAGAGAGCGAAATTGACCGTAACTCTCGAAGTATCGAGGACATGTTCCAGAGGTGTAGATGTATTCGAAGTACGTTAGTGAGTTTGTTGCAAACTTTGTTCTCGTTTGAGAATGTGACATGAAATGTTTGCATCGACCTAGACTGACGTTACTTATTAATTGGAACCCCTGGTCTAATTTTCCTTGAATTGTTTGCAAAAGTCTCCACGTAAATAGTTCTTTGATTGATATTTTGTTCTCGATTAATGTTTTGTATTAGTTTGAATTTAAGGCTTTGTTAACATGTCAGTGTTTTCGTGATGTTGTACACATGTTTCATGGTAACCGTATACTGACCTTCAACATGTCCTGCTCTCATTCATACCAGTCAAATATGCTATAGCTTTCA